AAAAAAAAAAAAAAAAAAAAAAAAAAAAAAAAAAAAGAAAAAAAGGTGAAGGAAAAAAAATTTTTGGAAAAATTTGGGAAATTTGGGGGTTGTTGGCCTCCCCGCCCCAGAAACCCCTGCAAGGCGGCTGAGAAACAGCGCAGAGAAGTCGAACCGGGAGTCCAGATGGGGAAGATCGACACACTCAGTCAGATGTGGACGAGGTGACCAAGAAGTTTGAGGACTGTGCAGATGCTACGCCACGGAGCTGTTCACCTTCATGAGCAGAGAGCAGCTGTACACTGAGAAACTTATGGATGTTAGTTGACTCCCTTTTACAGTGGAACCTCTGAATAGAAGACCATGGGACTGTGTAATAATTGTGCTATCTTTATTTTGAGATTTTCATCAAGTAATGAGCATTTGCTACTTGAATGTTAGCGCTAGTGGTATTCTTACCTGACAGTTGGGCTGCTATTATCCAAGAGAGAGGTGTCCTTTATTAGCTAATGAGGTTCCTGTGTATTTTCTGTCTGTTCTAGCTATCTCTGTGTGTGTGTGTGTGTGTGTGAATTCCTCGCAGTTTGTGCGGAAGCAGGTGTCGATGTTGAACAAGAGTGGCCAGTCTCGAGGAATGCTCCACTATTGAGAAAAATGAGTAAGTATTATGTATGTTTGTATGTGCAACCATCCATGATTGTAGACATGAGACATGCCGTCTGTCGTCCGCACGATGCAGCCTCAGAGGCAACACCATCGTGTGTATGGTGCATAGATGTAGTGGTATATACCCTAATATGAGCATGGTCAAGATAAGTCCACTTTCGTTTCATGACATATTTGAGGCACACCAATTGTTGTTCTGGGCCCTCATCTTTCCCAACCTCCCATCAGATGAATCCCACGTGAGGCCCGCTGTTTGGAATGTCGCTGGAAGAGCACGGCAAGCTGAGCAAGAGAGAGGTGGCGCTGGTCATACAAGACTGCGTGGAGGCTCTCAGGGACGGCTGTCTCGACACAGAGGGACTCTTCCGTATTGCCGGCAGTGCTACTAAAGTCAAGTTCCTCAAAGTATAAATGATTCTTGCAACTTCTTATTTCTCGTCATTATGAAAATCACTTTTCTCAATTGGTCTTCTCTAGAATCGTACTGATCCCTTTATCTTACTTACCATTAACTTTTCCTCATTCTGGGCTTCCCTATAATTATGCCCTTCTCCTATATCTACATATTATATTTGTGAGCTTTCAGCTTTACAATTGATTCATGTCTCCTCTAGAATTCGTTCAATGCACATCAGAGGAACGCGAAGGACCACGACCCGCACACAGTGGCCGGGTGTCTGAAGAGGTACCTCCGTGAGCTGCCTGAACCCATCCTCACCTATGAGCTGTACGCCGAGTTCATGTCCTCCGTCCAGTGAGTCGAACAACGAAGGGCGGAAAGTTCCAAATCCTTCTCTTGAACCTCTGTAGGTTGGCAGATACTAGCACAACATTGCAGAAGATGAAGGACCTTCTGTCGCAACTCCCTCCGTCTCACAACGCAACTCTAAAGTAACTGAAACCCTTCTGTAATACATTACATGGTCTTTTAGTCTCTCATTTTCGCTCTACTATCTCTCTGTTGATTGATAATGTTCTCTCCATATGGCTCTCCAGATACCTACTGGCCTTCCTGCATGAGTTTGCGCAGTACCACGAGATGACAAAGATGACGACGGGGAACATTGCCATAGTGATGGGCCCCAACCTCCTCTGGCCCGAGGGCGACATGTCAGAGGACGCTGCGTTAGTTGTTTTCTTAACAATCCTCCACGGAAGATTAATCAAACATGCAATTTTTTTACTCCCACTTATTTACTGTGTATGTATAATATATACCCTGTCTTCCCTCTCCCTCTTCTCCCTCCCTCCTCTCTCTCCCTCTTCCCTCTCCCTCTTCTCTCTCCCTCTTCTCCCTCCCTCTTCTCCCTCCCTCTCTCTCCCTCTTCCCTCTTCCTCTTCTCTCTCCCTCTCCCCTCCCTCTCCTCCCTCTTCTCCTCCCTTTCTCCTCCTCTTCTCTCCCTCTTCCCTCCCTCTCTCTCCTCCCTCTCTCCCTCTCTCCCTCCTTTTCTCTCCCTTTCTCCCCCTTTCTCTCCCCTCTCCTCCCTCCTCCCTCCTTTTCCTCTCCCTCTCCCTCTCCTCCCCTTCTCTCTCCCTTCTCCTCCTTTCTCCTCCTTTTTCTCTCCCCTTCCTCTCCTCTCTCCTCCCTCTCCCTCTCCCTTTCTCTCTCTCCCTCCCTCTTTTCTCTCCTCTTCCTCTCCCTTCTCCATGCAGTGCAGTTGTAAGTGACACTGCGGTACAGCGTCGAGTGGCTGAACTACTGATAGACAAGGTCCACTGGTTTTTCCCAGATCTCCCCGACACCCCCACCCCAGCTCCCCCCATCAAACAGGCCACCCACGTCTCCTCTCACGGGGTTAACCCCTCCGGAGTCTACACCCCCACAGGCCCGCTCTCCTCCTACGGAACTCCGCCCCCCACATCCCCGAGCCCGGCTGACTCCACCCCCTCTTCCTCCACCTCCTCTTCCATCACCGAGGACCTCCAGTCGAACACCTCACCTTCTCAAACCACGCCCCCTCTCCACATCACTCATGAAACCCTGGCCGAGATGCGATCGTCCTCTCCCAAGCCAGCGAACGTAGCGCCCCCCCCGATCAGACCAAGGCCGTACCGAGGTTCGGGACCCATGAGTAGTGGGCAGCAGACTCCGCCCAGTCCCTCTCCTCGCAGTGGGAGCTTCACTCGTCCTGCCAGCAGCGAGAGCTTCACTCGTCCTGCCAGCAGCGAGATTTCAAACTGTATGCCAGTGGACCCTACGGATGACATTGGGGAAGGTGGGTTCTCCAATTAGAGTTTTTTAAGATGATATTGCAAGCGCAATTGATATCATTTACATACTAGATATAGGAGGTAATTGGGTCACGTTTTTCTACACCAACAAAGTGTTCTCTAAAACGTTTGGATGATTGTGGTGGTTGTTGTTGTTGTGCAGGGAGTTTGGCAAACCAGAGGCCAGAGGAGCCAACGATCAAGTAAGACTGCTGCTAGCTTCGTGCTTAAATAGCTGCAGACACGTAATGTCTGGAACCACATATGGCAAAAGACTGGAACTGTGTAATGATTCATTGGCAATATGCCTACGTTTTTGGATGCATGATTAAGATGATTGCCAATTGCAATGGAAAGCCTCTACTGTTCTGCTCTGTCTTCCCTCCCTCCCTCACCACCTCCTCCATCTACAGAACACCTCCCCAAGTAATACCACGGAAGAAGAAACCGGACCCCTGGGAGTCACCCAAAGTGGGCGGAGTCTCCACCAGTGTCTCCGGCAACGGGGGGGAGAAGAGGCCCACGAAGGGTCCGAGTCGGAGAGCTCCACCCCCTCCTACCTCCAAGAAACCAGGTGCAGCACGGCAACTGTCAAATGAAGAGGTCAGCACCTTATGACCGCCAGACAACCATTATAACCCCACTGACGAGTGAAATTGTCTGAAATTGTCGTGCACATGACTGGTTTGTTTATGAGTGTGTATAGGGTCACATTGAACCTGTGTTATAGTATTTTGACATCACGTGATCTTGAGTTGTACATATTACGTCGTTTTAAAATTAATTGTTACGCGCATGCGCACCTAGTGAATTCTATTTCATGCCCACCCACGTTTTCGTTGGTGTGGTGCAAGAACTCCGAGCTGAGGCTCTATTATAGGCCGGTGTGGAGTGCATTTATGTGCATGATTACTGCTGGCCTCACCTCAGTGTACGGGGCGCGAGCTCTGCTACGAACAATCGGCGGTCGGGCTAGGAGACTCGTCAACACATCGAGTAGTTCAGGCGATATGTCAGCCTCTTCCTCCAAGAATCAGAAGATCAAGTCATCGTCTATCGCCAACTGCCACCTCCAGGTCCTGGGCACAGGCGGAGGGGAGCTGCAACCGTCCCTCTTCCTCTTCACGGACTCCAAACGCTACCTGTTCAACTGCGTGGAGAACGTCCAGCGGTTCTGCAACGAGTACCGAGTCCGGCAGAGCAAACTGAGCAACTTTTTCATCACCCGCATGACCTGGGACAACGTCGGAGGGCTCCCTGGACAGCTACTCCAGTTTGCCAACTTCTTCGATGTCGATAAACTGAACCCGATTCGACTCCACGGTCCTGAATCCTTGGCCGACTTTGTGTACTGTTCCCGCTTCCACGTGAACTCTGGCAAGATTGTTCTGGAAACCGGCGACCGAGTGGAGGAGATTGCAGGCCACCGTCTTCCCGTATACCGTGATGAGAACATTGCAGTGCACACCCTGAACATATCTGCCTCTCCTCCCAGCTCCCCACTTTCCTCGGAGACAGAGTCTGACAATGACGACGGTGCACTTGCCCCAAGACCTCCAAAGATACCCAAAATCTCATCCCCTCGAAACTCTATCTCTGTTTTCCTTTGCAAGCTTGCCGACGTACCGGGTAAGTTTAACCCCCAGAAGGCCACCGAGCTGGGACTCCCCAAAGGGCCAAGCTACCGTGCTCTTGTAAACGGTCAAAGTGTGACTGCTCCAAACGGAACTGTCATCCACCCTAGCGACGTTCTGGGACCCACTAGGATCGGACCGACCTTCATTGTACTAGAGTGTCCTCACCAGCGATACGTCCAATCCCTCACCTCACACCCTATGCTCCAGAAAGAGAGGTTCGATTCGTCTGGCGAGTGTGTGTCTCTGATAGCACACATGACACCAAGATCCGTGCTGGAGAGAGAGGAGTACTGCCAGTGGATGGCAAGTTTTGGACCCGCCACAAAACACCTACTCCTTCACAGGACTCTATGTCCTCACGACTGGACACTGAGGGGGCTCCTGAAAACACACGGCCCCCTGAATCTTCTGGACCCCTCTCTCTTCAGGGAGTATTCCCAGTGCTCGGCAGAGGACAAAGTACCCTCCACTGACGACCTCAAGATTTTAAAGTTTTTACCTCGAGAGAGTGTGATTGTGGGGAGGACCCTGTTAGAGTATCATCTGAAGCCCGTACAGAGAGAGGGAGTGGACGAGAGCCATGTCCTGAAACCCTTTGCATCGTACTGGGAGGAACACATGTCCCACGTCAGATCCAGTCCCGAAATAAAAAAGGCTGTGGGAAAACTTTCAGACGCAAGAAAAGTCTCAAGTGCAGCTGCTGTTCCCCCAGCATCGGAAGGTTCTGGGGATTGTGTCACGTTTCTTGGAACCGGGGCCAGCTGTCCATCTAAATATCGCAATGTCAGCTCCATCCTCCTTCAGACCAGTGCAAGCGGCAACGTGTTGTTTGACAGTGGAGAGGGAACGCTCGCTCAGCTGTACCGCCATTTTGGTTCCTCCGAGGGAGACCGAGTTCTCGCTGGACTCCAGACCATCTTCATTTCCCACATTCACGGAGACCACAATCTGGGCATCGTGTCTCTTCTCCTTAGGCGAGCTGAAATTCTGCGGCAACACGGGAAGCCATTGTCCACCGATGAAACAATGCAAACACCTACAAGGGTAGTTGGGCCGAGAAAAGTTGGCTGGTGGCTCAAAGACTATAGCAGGAGATGTGAAAACCTATACTATAACTTTATTGACTCGAGCACGCTGACCAAGGGAGGTAGCTTGCACCCGGAGATGACCTTGCAGACTGTACCAGTCATCCACTGCCCGGAATCGTATGGAGTGGTGGTGAGCCAGGGAAAGAACTGGAGAGTTGTGTACTCGGGAGACACGAGGCCTTGTCCGGCTCTGGTAGAAGCAGGGAAGAACGCAACACTGCTGCTTCACGAAGCCACCCTCGAGGACGGCATGGTGTGCGAGGCCGAGGAGAAACGACACTGCACCGTCAGTGAAGCGTTGCAAGTCGCGGAGAGGATGAACCCCGACTTCACAATTTTGACTCACTTCAGCCAGCGCTACTCCAAGTTTCTCCCCCTCATTCTCGGCAAAAAGACAAAGTTGAGGTCCTCAGTGTTCCCGGCATTTGACCACATGACTGTGGCTCTTTCTGACGTGCACAGACTACCAACCCTGCTCCCTGCCGTCCAAGACATTCTAGCCTGCACCAAAGACGATGATGACATTCCACTCTCGTGGGGCTGGTGATTCTTGGTTGTCATTACCGCTTTGTTTTCGTGTGCGCATGCGCGAATATTTTTGCGCCAAAGTCTGACACGTGACGAGCGGGGACGAAAATGGCGGAGAGCGTGATCCCGGGACTGGACGGCGATCTACCGCCGAACAGGGGCCACCTGCCGGACTCACTACAGGTGAAGGCGAGTAACGGAGTGACCGTGGGCTATAGTAGCCAGCAGGCGCGCCAGGGAAAGCTTGCAGACCCGTCATACAAGGTGTGGAGTGGGCGTTATTTAGAAAATTGGACCTTTTCGCCTTTCTTGATGCGTATAGTAGTATCTGATGGATGCGCTCCGCTATACTGTAGCTCCTTTCATTATCCACGAGTATTAGCTCGTGATTTGTAGCTTATAAAGCTTTATTTTTCCTCCATGTAATCTTCAGTTAGGAACACGAGCTTTACGTAAGGTTATATCACCACAGCAGACGAATTTCGGAGCTCCTGGGCAGCCGATGCCTTCTGGGGAGGGGAGACAGGATGGGGGAGAGGCTGGTCCACCCTCATCTGGCCCGGTGGGTGCATGCAGTGGACAGGGAGTTTTCCAGATAGTCGACAGTGCACATGGGGCAGGGCAGTATCCCCAGAGCAGCAACTATGACTATCAGTATGCACAACAGCAACAGCAATCGCAGAATCAACAGCAGCAAGTGTCAAACGAGTCGTCGAGTGCTCCTCCCTCTTCACTCCCTCCCAATCCCTCCTCCACATCCTCACAAGCCGCACAACACATGCACACCTCCTCTGCATCCGCTAACAACAGTACAGAGTTCAAATCTTCTTCCTCGTCGGGCCAACCTAAGAGATTACATGTCAGCAACGTTCCGTTCCGGTTCCGGGAACCAGACTTGCGCCAGCTGTTTTTTGTGAGTTCCGACCTCTATGTATACAATAGCCAAGCATAAAAATTTATCCGAAAAAAAAATTATATTCAAGATTTATGTTCTCGTGATATACACTAGTGTCTATTCTCTTGCAAAAATTGTTTTCTGTACTGCTGTGTTCTATTTGTGGAAGACGTTTACTGAACCATATTTTCTTCTCTCCTCCCAGGGTTACGGTGAGATAATGGATGCCGAGATTATATTCAATGACAGGGGTTCGAAAGGTTTTGGATTTGTCACGTTTGCCAACGGAGATTGTGCACTAAAAGCCAGGGACGAGCTCAACGGACGAGTGATAGATGGGAGGAAAATTGAAGTGAGAATGAGGGCATCAAATCCTACGCTGAAATGCTCGCTTTTGCACTAGTTTGGCGGCATTATACCCATATGTATGCTAATATGTATGCTACAATGTATGTTTTTTGTGTTGGTTCAGATTAATGAGGCCACGCCAAAGACATCATCGAGAAGTGGAGGGGGAGGTGGGGGGAGGGGGAGGCGGAGGAGGGGGGAATTGGAGAGGCGGCGGAGGAGGTGGAGGGGGGTGGGGGTCGTTCTTACTCCAGGGGAGGGGGTGGGTATGGAGGCTACCAGTCTTATGGTTACAGTGGGTACCAGGGAGGAAGAGGAGGAGGGTATGGAGGAAGAGGTGGCTACCAACCTCAACCTTACAGGTAGGTGCCGAAAACTGCAACTGTCTGTTCATGCTGCTATATTATATTTGTCTCCCTTCAGTTACAATCAGGGAAACTATCAGGTGAGTTATCAGCATATCACTATAGTAGCTGGCAGGTCAAACTGTGCTCTTTTATCATAACTGTCCTCAGACTTATGGCTACGACTATCACCAACCTCCTCTGCCCCCTCCCCAACAACAGGGGTAAGGTCCACTCACTGAAAACTATTTGGGGAATTTTGTGGTCAATTTTCCTGAGAAATGAGTGGAGTGCAATTGGAAGAGCTATCTAATGCATTCCTGTGCAATACTTATTGCTCTTTCTGTTTTATTTAGTCAGTGGAACCAAGGTGGAGGGTATGGCTACCAAGGGGGAAACTATGGACCGGTAACTATTTTATTTCCCAGTGCCTTTTCCTTACTTGACTATGTGCAACACTGTTTCTCGCAGGGAAACCAACAGCACCACACGCCTCCCCCTCCTCCCCATCAACATTATAGAGGTCAATCCCACGACTATCGGTACACTCCGTACTAAGCCACACCCCCCAGTCCATCCAGTCTCTGTGACCCCTGTTCCTGACTCTGCGAACTCTCGTACTTCCTGCGCGTTTCTTTTGACAACAAAATTTGTGAATTTTGCACACACAACTACATGAATTATGGGCTGAAGCCCACATTCAGAAAAGGGATTATCGTTTACTGTATATTTGCTTGTAACTGTTATATTATTCTTCTGCAACGACCACGCGCGCGCGCAGGCTTCGCATCTGCTCGTGCTCCACGTGGGGTTCGGCCCTGAATTAGTTTTGCGCATGCGTACTTACGACTTCCGCAAAAGAAGGGGTTGGTTTACACCTTGTGATTCTCTGTTGGGCGTTTGCAAGTTGCAGAGCCTCTCCCTGGTCATCTCTCCTCGTCTCTCAGACAGCTCAGGAAACCGCCGCCGCCATGAAGTCGATACTATTTCTCGTCGCCACCATCGCTCTGGTGTGTGCAGAGGGTCAGGATGTGAGCGTGATTCTGGCGGATGGGCCTTCCCAGACAAAAGGGCGTGTCGAGATCACGGTGGGCGACAGCGCACCTCGGCAAGTCTGCTCCACCGACTTCGAGTCTGACGACACGGACGCCCTCTGCGAGGCCGCGGGCTTCTCCGACTCCGAGGCCTCCACCACGGCCTACGGAACCAAGGGAGGACTGGAGTTCGTAAAGGTGGGGTGCTCGGACGGGACCTGCACGTACACGGACGAGCCCCGCGGCTACACCTGCACCGGGGCAGCGCTGGGACTGGATTGCTCGCCGAAGCTGGGCGTTACTGGCTCAATTGGGCTGGAGGCCGGTGTCATTGCGGGGATCCTAGTCACCTTGGTGGCTGTAATCGCCATTGTGCTCGGGCTCTCCGTGTGTCTCTACAGGAACGACCTCATCCCGTGTCTGCAGAACACCGCAACCTCTTCCTAGACGCCAACCCCGCCTTTTCGCAGTGGAGCTACCACCTGTCCACCGCTGATCAGCACATCTAACTGCTCTCATCAGTAAATACATGTATATATAGCCTGTGCATTAAAACTGCTTGTTTGATCCATATTCTGTGTTTTGTGACCTTGACCTATTATGCTAGAGGTATATAAATTTTAGCAGAATTTTATCAGTTTTTTTTTTATGTGTATTGCAATACGCTAATGTACAGGTCTTGTCACGTTAAAATGTTCAAAGTTGGAGAACTACATTGTAGAAATGTGCGATGGAGTGGGAAAAGGCTACAGAAATAAGTGTTTATTCTGTCCATCTGTGTCCACAGTCTTCAGCGGTGCAAACGTAGTAGAGTTTCATCTGATCCTGAGTTGGGGGCAGAGAAAGAGAGCACGCAAAAGATGGAGAAGGGTTGAGGAAAGCAAGCATAGAGTTGAAACACACAGGGCAGAGAAAGAGAGCACGCAAAAGATGGAGAAGAGTTGAGAATACACAAGGCTATATATATTTGACTTGGAAAGGGGAGACCCAACTAGTGCCCACCCCCTCAATAAAAGCCCTACACCAGTACCATATTGGGGTGGTGATATCTCATTATGACACAGGAAGTGGATGTAATGAAGATTCCATTCTCACCTCTGATTTTCTGCTCTGGGACTGGAAGAACACTGCCTCATTGTGTTGGCATCTGCGGTAATTTGATTGCATTGCACAGCTAGGGGTTAAAAATGGTGATCTTGCGGCAAGTATGCTCACTTTGGACACAAGTGGTCTTCTGTTCGCGGAAGAGTTGGGTCTTGAGCAACATCTGCCACAATCTCTGTCAGTTCACTGCACAACACCAGTGGCTCAACAAAGTTGAGGGGAGACGTTGGCAAAACTCACTCAACTTCATGTGTGATTTTATTGACGTAGACACAGCTAATGTCTGCCTCCTGAGAGTAGTCGCAGTTACGACACTGCAAGAAAGAGATCGTGAAGGTTTATAAAACGAGAGCTGAGAAACTCACTGCATAGAGCAGTCTCTTGTTCTCCTTGTCTTCCTTGGGATACAGCATGTTGTTGCTGAGGGCAAGAAGTAGAGGTAGACAGGCAGAGCAGCCGTTCAACTCACCACTCCTGACAGAACTGAATGCCTACGAAACCAGGTCCTCTGTCAGGTTGGTCGATCTCCAATGGAAACCCAGAATCCATAGCTATGGTGCACAAGGTCACACAACAATATTTTGCCGAATCGGCAATTTCTCGTGGTGGGCGTGGTTACCTCGCCATGGGGCCAGCTACGCATACAGATGTGTTTGGCCGTCTGTTGGCCCCTGATCCCGAACATCACGATTTCATAACGGGAGATGTGCTACACCAGGTGAGCGGCCGTTGTACCAACTCGTGGTAAAACACGTCTGGTCTCTTGATTATGCAGTGGGCCCCCAACTGTTCGTGCAACATGCAACCCAACGTAACTGTTCTCTTCAACCACCTTCCCATCTGCAACATCTCACGTGAGCCTCAACCCTCTGCTGCCCAGCAAGAGCTCCATAGCCTGCAAACCTTACTGTTCCATGCTTTGCTATAGTGCTTCCGGCCTGGGTATTGGCAGTGATTATTGGGCTGTATGGATGGTTCAAGATCAGCAGACTTGGGCCTTCTGTGCCAGGATCTATAAGCTATGCAGACACATTCTTCATGTATGCAATGATGATTACATCTGGATTCGTCGTGCACTCGCTATTTCTTGTGGAGTGTGGAGCTGCCCCAGTCACGCAGGTAAAAGTCCCATCTCTTTGTTTCTGTTGACTCCATTTCTGGTCTCCAACTTCCACACCCGTTTACAGCCATTTGTCTACGTGGCCATCACAGATTCATGTCTCACTTCCTGTATAGCTATCAGCTTCATCTTCAACGGACTAATCGATCTAAGACTCATTTCGGAGAAGAAACTTTGGATATCGTATGTTTGCACCTTGCTAGAACGTATAGGTCTATATGTACCACTGTTCCATGTGCAGATGGGTAATCTATGGCGTGGTTTTCATCTTGGAGTTCAGCAATGTTATCAACCCATCGTAAGCATCTGAGCCCATTGCTTTACACTACACCCAATTGTAACCACATACAGCAGGCAACTTTTCTTTTGGTGTGTGCAAATTTTTAAACAACCCTGGAGAAGTTCACACTTCTTGAATAGTTAATTTTTGGTAGTTAAGAAAATTTCCTGAATTTCCCTTTTTGTTGAATGCCAGGTCGCTCTACACTCTCTCCATCGCTGTTGCTTGTCCTACCTATCTGCTCTGCCAACTGCCGATACTGTACCACCTCAATCGTGTATGCCCCATCCTCTACCTCATGGCAGCCGCCATTACTGGAGGAGTCAGCTTTCTTCTCTTCGCTGAATACATCTGTCTTCTCTGTTCTACCCTCGGGGCATGGAGCATTGAGGTTTAGTTACATAATTAGAAAATTAGAAGTATATACCCAAAAAGCACAAAACATTCTAGAAAAGCCAGGCCAAAGCTAAAACAAAGGGATTGATGATTGAGTTTTACACAACCTTAGTGCCTGCACACACATATTATTATTGAAACGCGAGGTCCATGTTTCAAATCTTACCAGATTCTCTCTTTTTTTGCTGAATGCTACATTTTGCTTTATTCAGCCCCAGTGGTAAGTAACGGTGCCAAAACTGTGATTCACTCCACAGGGTGTGTGGTACTACGGCTCAGACCTTGCAATGTTCTTTATCTTGTTGTACACCTGTGCTGTCAAGAAAAACCTACCTGCAGAAGCTTTTAACTCTGTAACTAACAAAACGCCAACCCTCGAGGCGAAAGGTGCTACTGACACTGGGTTAGTGACTAAACAAAAATAAGTGGCATTGTATTATGACACATTATTATACAGAGACTATAATTGGATTCCAGAGAATAAGAGGTATTACAACGAAGTGCTCGACGACATTCAGAAGATTATAACTCACGAAGGATATTGAAGCCAAAATTGAATGTCAGAACTGCTCTTAAGGCTTAATAAACAATACAAAATTCCATACATGTGCACAATAAGACAATAATAAGATATACAACAGTCTGATTTGTGCAAAATGGTGGGTGAAGTGAAGTGATTGATAAAGTTTTGAGGGTTTACCAACTGTACAATACACATGAAAAGACGATGTTACAAAATCCTAGAGTTCAATAGTACATGGGTTACTATAGCGACTAGTGACTCCACCCACATAGCTCACCCGCACCGCAAAGGCATAGCGTTGTCCGACAGCAAAGTTAGTGAGAGTTACAGCCATCGGTAGAGCCAGCGGCTTGATCTCTCCCACCTTTCCCCACAGCGACACGTCAGGGATATTGGAAGTTCTGTTGCTGACAAACGCATAGAGATCGTAGCGTCTAACAAAATTCTGCCACGACAGGTGTTCTGGAGAAAAGGTCCACTTTATGACCAGACCTGTGACGACTTTGCTGGCCTGCAACTTGACCACAGGCAGGTCACGTTGCGAAAAGTGGTACAGGGAGGAGACGGAGGGTACATGGACAACAGATGGAGGGACAGACGGAGGGAGAGAAGTCAAGGAGGAAGCTGCGTTTACAGTGGTTCCATGCGGCTTAATCGGGGCTTGGATTGGTCCAGGTTGGCCACGTGAACTAAGTACGGCTAGATTTCCTGTTTGTGTGGTGGTAGTGCTTGTTGCCACGCTGTCTATGAGGTGGTAATTCCTGGTGCAAGAGGCGAAAAAAGTGGCGGTAGAAACTGAGCTGTTACACATCTGTGCTGAAGTGCTGATGGGAGTAGCAATGGGGGTGGTATTACTAGAGGATGGAGGAGTAGCAGCAAGCAGAGTGACATTTTCAGCATGAATATTTGTTGTTTTGGAAGGAATGGTAGCTTTGGTGTTTGTTGTCAGAGGAGCATGAAAACAGAGTGGCAAGTTTAGAGGCAGTGCGAGTATTGGTGGCTGTTGTGGGAGACAGACAAGGAATAGTAGCTTTGGTGTTGGTTGTGGAGGTACCGGGAGCTGCAGACAATGAGGAAGCAAGTGGTGTTGCATCAGTAGAGACAGTGCTAATGGCTGCTGTGGAACCTTTCGGAGGAATGGGAGCTGCAACGGATGAGGCAGCAGGTACAATGGTGTTTGCAGTTGAAGTAGTGCAGGAACTGGTGATTGCTGTGGAAGGCACATGAACGGTGTTTGCTGTGGGAGTGCTGGGAGCTGAGGTAGTCACTATTGGAACAGTTGCTGCAGGACAGGAAAGGTAGGAAAGGAGGGGAGTGATCTCTTTTAGCACTCCTATGATGCTGGATGCAGAGATAGCACCATTCTTACCACTGCTTCTAACAGTGACGGTAGTTACAGGTACACTAGCAGCCGTAACAGGTACACCTCCAATAGAGGAAGAAGTGGTGATGGAGGATGGAATAGAAGTTGTTGTGGCAATAGGTTTAGCTGAACTCACAACTGAGCGTAAACTAGAGGATTGAAGTCCACCGGCTGATGGAATTGGCATTGCAACAGAAGCGTTAGAGACACGCGATGTAGGCAAGGAACAGCTTGACCTAGTCTCAGTATCTTTGCCAATGGTATTCGTGGCTGGTGCTAGACTAACACTAGGAGCAGACACCGTTGAAGTGATGGAACTTTTGGCTGCACTCGACGCACTTGCAGCACAAGAACGTGGCATCGTCTCCACCTTCTCAGCTGATGAGGTCGCATTTGCGATTGAGTGGACTTCTTGAGCATCTTTCCTTGTGTCCTCGCCACCTGATGAGAACTTGTGAATGATGACATCGTCACAAAGACCAGCAATCCCTTGGCACGCTCCAGTGTTCATTGTACTAGGAGAAGAAGCCTCCATTGAGGATGGATGCTCTGCTGACTGTGACCGCCTGGGGCAGTGCACAGCAAGTTGCTTGGAAGTGTTGGCAGTTGTCGTAGAAGCAACAGTTGCAGGAAGGGCAGAGATAGGTTGCTGAGTTTTGTTTCGTTCTGTAGAGACATGTTTCTGTTGATCTGGCATGGTTGGTTCAGTGGAGACATGATTCTGGTTTGGTTCACCAGAGACTGGCTTCTGAATCTGAGCTGGCTCTGTGGCCAGGACAGCAGCTGTTGCAACACCTGGTGACATGCGAACATCCCCACACGCAGCAGTTGTAGATGTTGTGGTGGACAGTGTCGCTTTGGGAGTGGTAGTTGTTGGTCCCTGTTTGTCCAGTTTGGTTTGTACAGTGGTCATAGGCCTCACATGACCTGTGGTCACTACTAGACGTATGATTTGTTGTTTGTATTGTTTCGCAACCACTTTGTGCAATGGCACAGCTGGATTAGCCACGAGGGGAATAGGTGGCATTTGTAGAATCGGCGGCGTGGGAGAGACCATATTTATGCTAACACGAGGTAAAGGGAGGGTGGTGTTGGGTGGCGGTGCGGGTGTCTGTTGTGCGAAAGGCTGGCTGCTTGCAGACTCCTGAACAGAGGCAGTAACAGGTGCAGCAACGGGAGGACTCTACAGCAGACTCCTGAACGGAGGCAGTAACAGGTGCAGCAACGGAGGACTCTACAGCAGCATTTGTACACTCTACAGCATCCACTGAGGACTCTTCAGCAGCATTTTCACACTCCTCAACAGAGACAGTAACAGAATCAGACCCAGCTTCAGAATCAGTCGGAGTCTGTAATGCCGAGTTAGCACAAACTGAAAGGGCAACTGCGTTGGGTGGAGTGCGCATTGTCATCGGAAGAGTAAGAGGTGTTACAATGTTGGGAGAAGCAGAGAAAGTGCTTCGGGTGGGGTAGGCATAAGTCATGATGGGGGATACTTGTTGTACAAGAACACTACTCCCCCCACTGAACATGGTTGATGGTGCCCTCGTATGAAGCTGCTGCGTGATTTGGTTGACAAGCAGCTGAGCCATGTGGAGGTCAATGGCATAGGTTGACCTTGAAAGACTGAGGGCACGAGCAATCAATTTTTGAAGTGCTTCTTTCTCTCCAGGACTCATTTTAACTTTTTGCAACACACACGCTAGAGTTTCTAGGGCGTTACACAGGGTCACACGTGGCAGAGAAGAACTTTCAGTGCTACGTGCAGCAACCGCACTAGCAACTGCAGTGCTCGCACAAGGAGTGGCCGTGCTGGTCGAACATGGAGCAGAAGGCAATGCGTCCGCAGTGCTGCTAGTGGATGGTGTCGACATGGAACCGAGTGGGTGAGATGACTCAGATGCAGTGGAAACTGGCAGAGCACGCCTATGAGGGATATGCTGCAAGTAGTGTCCTACTGTACGCTGAGAACTCACGTTTCCACCAGTTTTGCAAGGGATCGAAGCTATTGTCCTGGAATAAGTTGCTGCGGTGGCGGAAGCGACCGTTTCTGAACTCACAGCAAGTGGCTGGTGAGAAGGCGTGACTGATGACTGCAGTCTCAACCGGAATGATTCCCCTCTTGAAATGAGTTTACTGTAAGGAGAGAGTCTTGTTGGCGAGGGCGATGTTGGAGAACTAGTGGTCACTGGCGATGAAGTTGCTGCAAGTGGAATCACAGACGTTGAAGTTCTGGCAACCTCAGATGATGAGGTGCGGGAAACTTTGGAAGTTGAAGTGTAGGCGCCAGGCACCAAGTCACATCTATCAGTAGGTGGTGTACTTGGTGTGGGATGGGATTCTCGAGAGGTGGGTTTTGGAGCAAGAATCGTGATATCACGTGCATCTCCTCTCACTTGTTTCTCTAACGCAAGCTGTCTAATTCGCTCCCTCTTTGAAGTGGAGGTCTTCTTACACTTCTTGCCATTCACCGTCACTGCCTTTCTTTTTCTCGCCCTGCTGGAACCAGAAGTTGCTTGTGCCCTCGTCCTCTGCTCGGAAGACGGAGGAGGACTGCACAGGAGTTCAAGATCAGAGTCTTCCTCGGAGCTCTCCTTCCCAAGCCTACGGCCTTTTCGGTTCTGCCTCATGAGGTAGTTCATCTTGTGCAGGAGCCCACGTATACCAACATCTAAGAACAGCCTGTGGAAAAAGGGGTTAACTTTTAATTCTTGGTTTCTCCACGGACGCAGCTGAATATCCGAGGCGACAATACAGCCCAACTTGTCATGGGAAAATGTCTCGTGCCTCAACCCCACTGTGAGGAAAGCAAGAGTGTCCTTTGTTTTCTTCTGCAACTGGGCTAGTTCAGCCTTGAAATACTTCGGGAACACCTTCTTTCCCTGGTCATCCAATTCCTGTAAGACGTCTACCAACCCCTGCATCTTTGCACCCATTGCCCAAGAGGCTGCACCAGGCGTCGATGGAGGGGAGGACATCGTTGGTTCACCAGAGGGAGGGGACAACGGGTCTGAGGCAGTTGGTGAATCTACCACTGAGGAAGGGCCTGTTGAAACTGCAGGACTCTGTAGAGAGGTTCTAGCCGCTGGCTTCACAGGTGTAGACGGTGTGGGAGACTTGATTTCAATGGGCAAGTGTGTTAGTAGGTGGTGCACTGCTTCTAGAACAGATTCCATGTGTCTCTCTTGAACTGGCTCTTTTGGAAGAGCCTTGAGCTTAAAATAGAGTTCGATGAGTTTTGATGCGGTGGCATGCAGGGGCGGTGAGAAACAGACTTTTGATGTCGCCTCATGCTTGTAGGTAGAACTTGACTCACTAGAGGCTTCGACATTGCTACAATTACAAGTGGTTGCGTCCACCTGCATCGAACCAGCAGAGCACCGGGCACAGCTCTGGGTTTTGGACGAGGTTTTGATTGCCTTCAAGAAGCGCACCTTTGGACTGACACCCACAGACCGTGAGCAATCTCCGTCACCTAGTACAGAGCTCAACCACTTGTTATAACCAGCCCCAACAAGAGAAGTGGGTTCCTTCCTGCCATCGAGAGTATCACTAGGGCGCACTACAGACTTATTGCCTTCTTCTATGTAAAGCTGTAACTCACTCTCTGGATAGCTGTACAGACATACCGGGCGAGACCGCACCTGTAGTCGGGGAGGAACGGAACGCAAAAATCCATCAGTTTGGCAGGCAACAGTCGACACCTTTGGCCGCGTCTGAAAACCCCTCTCTTGCGTTTGAACGCTCTTACGACTCTTTGGTTTCGGTTTGGTTTGCGATGAACTTTCACTGTTTGTTCGAGGGTGTATTTGTTCTGGGGATATAGGGGTTTCGTCCGTCAGTGTACCTTTGTCCACCATAGTTGGTTTTAACCCAGTGGTCGTCATATCCTGCAGAACACAACAATAGTTGACCCCCAGCCATGTATGCACAGTGTAAACATGTTTGGAGTAAGAGAAGCCCCCTCTAAAGGAAGTCAGATACTATGGTATTTTGATTGCTGGGTAGCGGATAACAGCATATTTTGCTGGAAGTGTGCACATATTTTGCTCTTACTCTGACGTATTGTGTCTTTGCCTGTAAGGTTCTCTCCAGGCTCTCTTTCTGCTTGGTGATGCTGGCCACCTGAGCTTCCATCATCTGCAGCTGTTCCTTCATATCAAACATGGCCTCACTTAGTTTCACCACCAGATAGGTGTCTAATACCTGTCGGAGGATATAGGAAATCGAAATCATATTACTTTGATTACTAAACACAGCTGCGCGTCTCACATCTTTGTCAATCATCATGCCTCTCTCTGCTTGCACTGATGCATCTCTGAACATTCCAAGAGGCCTGGTTATTACAACTGGAGATGTAGTCGGTATTCTGTGGAGCTGGGAGATGGGGACCTTGACTGTGAGAGCAGGGCACTTTGCAACTTCAGCCCCTGAACTCCTGGTAATGCCCACCTCTACATCACTGCTAGACAATTCTCTACATGAGTGTGAGTGAGACAGATGGGCAAGAAACCATCAGACAGATCTACATCACTAGAGGTGTATATACAACAATAACAACAACCATGCTCGTTCACCATCAACTGTACCCACCTGTTCCTGTTGCCAGTAGTGTCAGCTGTGTCTGGGGCAAATTTTGCAATTGTTTCCAACAGCCGCAAGTCATAGACTTCATCCCTCTGAGACAGTTTGCCTGAAGCATTCTTTTCCTTGGTCGATGTTTCTGGCTCCACTGGTTGAGTGCCAAGGCCCCCCTGTCCTGAATGTAAGGTCGAGGCCATAGGCTCCATGTCTCCGGCTGCCACAGAGGTTCTCCCTGCCTCTTCTATTGCTTTTGTCACATGCTCGTCTTTGTCAGCAATGCCACCATTCACCTGTGCTTCACTTTCCACCAGCGGTCCTTCAGCAGAGGAACTTTGGTCTGATACATGAGAGTGCTGTGGTTTTGAGGCAGGTACACAGGCCACAGGCTTATCCCCCCTCTGAACAATATGGTCTAAAACTGTAGCTTCCACAGAGAGAGGCTGTGAGGAAATCCTGACTACGGAGTCAGGTTCCCCCGAGGGTTGCTCCGAGGCAGAGCGATTCGTGTCAGGTTTGCTGTGCTTCAATAAAGAGAGACTCTTCTTGAACATGGGAGTCACAGGTTCTGAGGTTGTACCATTCTTCTGGCTTTTCGTTGGTGGTACACCAAGTACGAACCTGGTGAATTCCTTTTTACCTTCTACAGATGGTGCCTCACCTGATAAATCCGGGGGGCTAGACAGTGAGGAGACCGAGTTAGTTAGGCCTCCGCCAGATACTTGACTTGATAAAGATGGTCTTTGCAGTATTAGTGGAAGAGGTCTGGAAGACTTGAGTGCAGGACTTGGTTTAGGCACAAACATGCCTGTTGGGGATAGAGAACGGTTGTCCGGCTTTTTACGAGGATTATTTTTCTCGCCCAGGCTATGTTTTTCTGCTTGGGTTTGCATAACTGGCTTGGGTGCCTGTGGTCGACATGCCACCTGAACTGCCTTTTTTGAAGCTGTTGCACCTTTTTCCTTTGGCTTCCAACTTCCCTTTTGGCCCTTTTCCTGAGATTGCTCGGTTTGAGGAATCTGTACGGATGTGTTAGATTGTGCAGTTTGAGGCAGAGATGCAGGCTGGACTGGAGGGCTTGTGTTGGGATCAACAGCGGCTGGCTGGCTGGCTAGAAAGTCAGAGGACAACTTGATCCTTTTAGCCGCAGTGGTGGAGCTAGGATTCCTCAACTTTTTTTCTCTTTTCTTCGTCGATTTCAGTAGTCCTACTTGGGCAGTGATCGCTGATGCCTGTTTTTTAGACTGCTTATACTTAGCAAAATCATTTCTTGCCTTCTGCACAATGGAATTCTGGAGGTGGGGCAAACTGATGGTGCAGTACTGTTGCATAGGTATACGACCCCTCCCCCTCAGCGGATGCTTATACAACCTCTGTCCGTTCAAAGTTGTGGATTTTCTTGCCACCTGTGGCTTCTTCCTCTTCCGCTTCACAAAAGACTGTGTGAAATCGTGTACACGTGAGTCTGAAGGAGACTTACAGGTGTGACTTGTGACTAATTTGGAGGATTGGGAGGACTCAGATGTCGGTTTGTTCACGCCTACAGACTTACCATCGCTTTGGTTATATGCACTGCAAATACTCTCCGATTCAACCGAGTCTAGAACCTCGAAAAGATCGTTTTCATTGAAGTCGAATATAGAAGACGATGTTTCCGTTTCAGAGTCTTTGTTTAGGCTGGAACCATTTGAGTCATTTTGCTGCAAGTGTTGTAACGTTATAATTTTTGGTGCAGAAGAGTGTCTCGGTAAAACAGATGGCGGACTTAATGGTGTTTTTGACGTAGTAGCAGAAAGACTAGGCTTTCTAACTTTCTTGGTTTGAGGAAGGGCCGTTTGGGAGAGCTTGGGGTTCTTGGGAGCCGTCTTGGCAAAGGGCTGAGGAGACCGGGGCACCTGGGACACAGGCTTGGAGGCGACTGAGCCAGCAGGTGGCATACTCTCATCTAATTCTCCACGTGTGGTCGATTGGGTGCCCCCTCTTGCTGACTGGCAGCCATGTTTAACCAAAGAGCAAGGTATTTCTGTCACAGCTGTTGGTGACAATGCCTTCGAACCTGTTTGTAGCGATTTTTCCTTATTAGCAGTGGGTACACTAGATCCTACTCCAGGATGAAGGCGGGCAGTTTTTCCTGAACCGGGAGGGACTTTCTTTCCTCTCTCAAACTCACTTGAGTGTTTCCGAGGCCTTTTTTCGCCAATCTTTGCCCTTACTAGAGTCCCGGCGGTGGCAAAGATCTTATGTCTCTTTCCCGACATCTCTATCCCATCCCCAGCCCTCGGAGTGAGGTTTGGTTGCTTAGCTGTTGGAGTGATGCTTGGTTGCTTATGTCTCTCTCTCTCACCAGCTGGAGATGGTGTGAAGAGGTCCATACAATCCAAGAACCTCCCTGAATGCTGAGAATCCATAGTCGGTGTGTTGGGGCGCTCTAGCTTTGCCTACCTTTCTAGCCGAGTCACTACGGCCAGCTAACTGCACATTTCTCTCCGGAAGAGAAGAGCCTGGCAGTCCTGGTGTGCGAGTGGGAGACAACAGAGTACCCTTTTGCGGAGGTTTCTTTTTCCCAGTGGGAGGGGGGTTCCATAAAAGTATGCCGTGTCTCTGAGTGGCAACTGTTATAGACTGGTTTGCAGGTTTGGCCACACCACCTGTCTTTGGAGATACCAAATCCCCATTATGTGATGCCGAGGGGCCACACCTTTTGGGACCATGCATTGCTGCGTCCATGCTAGCTGGCCTCTCACATACTGTTCTGTCAAAGTCAACCCCAGTTGATGCAGACGGCCTGCAATTGGTGATGTGGTGGTGATGATGCGAGGGCGTTTTCTTGTTCGTTACTGAAATATCGGGAAACAAATCATCAGTGGATGACTCGTCCACATCAAGGACAATGACATCTTCGTCGCTGTTGCTTACTGGAAGACTATCTTTCCCACTCCGTTTCTTAGACATCTAGCCAAACAAAAAGAGACGCTAAATTCGGCGCCATGTTGCGTGCCGGTGTGCCCACACGTAGGTACATATATACACACGGCATGGCACCATCTAGCTGCGCACATGCGCGAAATGCAAATTGGCCGCCGGCGCGGCGGCGGATCATTTGACACGAGTATTAGTCGACGACACACACGTACACGGCTGCCAACTAAAAGCGCACTTCCCCGGCCCAGTAGGTAACACGTTTTACTGACACCGACGCGTGCCGCGCACAAATCACTAACGCAGCCCAACTTCGACCTCCACGTACGACTTTACCTTAGAGTACTATCTCTGCTTACCTGTGGCTTTTGCTATCAGCTCGTGCATGAGCGACCGACAGATATCCTTAGCTCGTCGTTCTTGGCCTACTCTGACCGGTAGGGAAGCCAAACGTGTGACGTCGACACAAAATGGCTGCCGTTGCTCAAATTTTTACGGTCAATCCGTCAAAACTACGTAATATTTCGTCAGAAACGTCATCAATAACGCACGCATGCGCATAAAAACAGGATATTCGTCACAATGAGGTGCGTTTTATATAGAGAAAGTCTTAGAGTTAGAGCGTCAACTGCGCAGATGCGTCGAGGTCCAGCTTGTAACTTTCAATGGCGGGGTAAACTTCTTTCTCCAAGAATCCTTCCACCTAAGAGCGAGAGCCAAACAATGCAATACACTATAGATTCAGCTAACCTGTGGTGTTGCCCTACCAACAAAAGTCACAGGATTCAGTAGTTCATCCAACTTCTCTCGAATGGGTAAGAAGTATTCAGACGCTTTAATGCGATCTACTAGATCGTTTTCTAGGCCAAAGGTTTTGACCTGTGCACCTGCTTCCATTGAAAGTACCCTCATTTGTTCATGGCATTCCTGGTTTTTCGAGATCTCAAGTAACCATAAACAGTGAAGGACACACAAACCTGCCTATTGGCTCCGAGTTTTACCATGCTCATTATTATGTTCTCAGATGCAAGAAATGGTAGCTCTTGTGTCACATGTTTTTCAATCACCTATATTCAATTCAAAGTCAAAACAATCTTTGAGAGTTGGATAGCTAGCTACCTTGGGATAAACAACCAAACCCTCACATATGTTTTGTAAGGTGTTCAGTATTGTATCAGCCGCTAGAAATGCTTCCGCGATGCTTATCCTTCTGTTAGCACTATCGTCTAGAGACCTCTCTAGCCACTGAACTGCAGCTGTTTGCTGAGCATCAGCGACTAGTACCATCACGTGCCTTGCGATACTGCAACATCTTTAATAGTAGGATGACGACCATTTGATTAAAACAAAAAACTATCTCAGTAACGTTACCTTTCACTCCTCATTGGATTCCTTTTGTATGGCATAGCACTGGAACCAATCTGGTCAACTTCAAACGGTTCTTCGAGCTCTTTTTGATTTGCTAGCAACCGTATATCTGTGCATATCTAGAGGAAAGATCCTGATGTAGATGGTTACGCAACCCCATTCGGTTCTTGCAACCTTGTGTATTGATGCTCCAAGACTTCCCAAAACAGACAACACATCAACATCTACTTTGCGAGAGTACGTCTGCCCGGTAATACGGAATTTACTGGAAGAATACAAGTATTAATTCATGCATAATAATAAAAAGAATTACTTGGAGAATCCAGCCATTGCTGTGATCATCGCGTCGAGCTTTTCAACCTATTACGCCTCAACTAAGAGGTTAGGAAAAAGAGCGCAATAATGTTAAACCTTTTCGTGGTTTCCATCAAACAGAGCCAAAAAGGATGCCTGTGTTCCAGTTGTGCCTTTGGCACCACGAAACCTCAGATCTTTTTTCGCTCTCTCTAAGTTGCGGAGATCCATAAGAAGGTCTTGGATCCACAGACAGGACCTCTTTCCAACCGTCGTCAGCTGCGCAGGTCTATAATTAGGGGCTTTAGCTGAACGGGATTTGGTTAGCTATACATCCATACTGGAAGTGTGTAAAGCCAAGTGTTGGAAGATCCTTGTATTCCTCTGCAAACTTCGCAAGCCTTTGGATGCAGCGTGCAACCTATAATATCAAACCAGAATAGTGTCTGTGTGTATGTGTGCATTCTTTCTGCCCCACCTTTGGGAGACAAAGGTCCAAGCCATCTCTAATGACAATCAGATCCTAAAAGAAGGTGGCTTCTAAAAATCAATAATGCACATACTGTAGTCAAAACCATTACGGTGTTGTCTCCAACATAGCAAGACGTTGCCCCCAAGTGAATGATCGGTGCAGCTTTGGGGCAACACTGGCCAAATGTGTGGACATGTGCCATGACATCGTGCCTTCTTTTCCTCTCTTCCTGAGCTGCAAGCTCAAAATCTATGTTAGTGATATTTCTCTCCATTTCTTGGATTTGTTCGTCCGATATCTCGAGTCCTAAATCCTGCGAAACCACCACCGTTTAGCTAAATCGCGATATGTCGGGAATCCTACCTTCTCCGCTTTGGCCAAAAACAGCCAAAGTTTTCTCCAAGTACTAAACTTTTTTCGCGGAGAGAAGTTGTATTTCATTTCAGTACTGGCGTACCTACTTGTCAAGGGACTCGAATAGGAACTGTAGGGATCCGGCGACTCCGCCATCCCCGCCGCCAAAGGTAGGTAGAGCTAGCTAGAGCTAGAGCGCGTTTATTGGGATAACATGCGCGTGCGCACTAGGACTTGCGCGCGGGGTTTTCAAACAAAATGTCGCGATCGAGCAACCTCTACACTCTCGTATGTGTGGTCGAATCCCCTTGAGCTCTCAGATGCTGTCGGCTGTCCATATGCAGGATTTTCATGTAGTTTTGTTGACTGTTTCTTCCCCCTTGATATCACTGTTGACGAAAAAAATGACTTTAGCCAAAATTTTGAAATTGTTACCTGTTTCTTGGTTTGTTGGCATATATAGCTCGTTGTACTGCATGCTTTGTTCATGAACTCCGCTTACTGGATGAAAGAGAGGAAATGGCGGCCGTTCATTCAAAACATTGCTGACACTACACATACAAGTAGCTACTGGACAATGGTAGTCACAAACTGATCAATACAGCGCTACAAAAATATGACATCCTATACACTTGCATGAAAAGATGAATTGGCTCAATCTTTCCTTCTAACTGAGGACACACTGGGGGATATGTGTAACATGACAAAGTTTGAACCTTTCTGTGCACTCTGCCCCTTTCTTGTGCAGCAGCATGGGCACCTTTTTCTACAGCAGGCTCTGAAGACTTTACAGATTTTGCAGTTACAACAGCCTCCGCAGCAAACGCAGCAGCCACACAGACAGCACAACAGCACAATCACAGCCACAACGAGCACAACTATCATGACTGCCGAAGCAACCATGGCCGAAGCAAACGTGACGAGAGAGACTGTACTCTCGCGATTCCTTTTCCTACCACCATCACACCCATCTGGCTCAGCTGTTGGCATGGACGTTGGTGTCGGAATAATTTGGCTACTGGTATCAGTGGTGTCTGCAGAGAACAGATTCAGAGATAATTGCTATCAAAAGGACGTGTCACTTACTCATTATGATTTTCAATACAGGAGTGGCAGTATTGTTGGCTTGCTTCAGCTCTGTGGCAGAAAATATTGCAATTCAGACACGTCATCTGCCGATTGTTGTCTTTGCTGTTGACTGGAAGGGACGTACTGAAAAACGTTTCTGCCGTCAGAAGCACTGAATGCAATACTGAAACCTTGTTCTGTCACAAAACCTAAAACATCTCCTTCATTGAGTCTCAAGTCAAGGTCTACAATTTCACAGGCAGCTTCGCCACCTTCGCCGTCAACGAAATACGTTCCGACGTTTGCGGAGGCCGTGCCGAGCCTGTGATACGACCTAACAGCGCCACCAGCGTATCTCCTTTGAAAAGCGAGAAACTGCACTGAATAGGCATTTTTGACGTCTCCAGTTACATAGAAGCATAGTTCGAGCATGTCCACAATCCCGGAGCATTCTGCGGGATCGTTTGCTAAGATGTAGAGCGTGTTTGCCTCGGCGTAGCCCTCCGATGAATCAATGGAATCCAAGTCCGCCTCTCCGAAGGAACACTGGTTTGGCAGTAGCGGTGCGGGTGTCAGCGGAGGTGGTGGAACATTGTGTGGAGACGGCAATGGCGTTGCCACCGTCGTGCTGGGTGGTTTCACTGGCGGCGGCGGTGGAGGTGGAGGAGGTGGTGGACGACCTTGATTGTCCTGTTCTTTTCTGCACAATACTCCATGGAATATACTACATATAACCACAGTAAAAAGGAAAAGTTTCCTCATCATAGCGAAAGACCGTTCGTAGCGCCAGAAACTCACACTTTATATCTTGCCCTGACTCCACACATACTACTACGCATGCGTACAACAACAGAATAAATGGCGACTTCTTACGTGAAGGAATCGGAGCTGCTCAGCTTCTTCGTCTACGACACCAGGCTAGGTCTCAAGGAAGGAACAGTACGTACAGCAAGCCATCTCTCCTCCACTCGCGTACTGCTATCTTTCTGTTCAGGAGGAGCAGAAGATACTCTATTACCACCCGGATAACGAGTCAGTGAACAAGAAAGTTCGGAATGTAGGACTGTGCGAGGCTCTGGTCAACTTTACCAAGACCTTCAACCCCGACCGGCCGTGTCAGGCCGTCCACACGGACAGAAAGAGGCAGGTTTTCCTTGAACCAGAGCCAGAGATATGGACTGTCATGGTAGGTTGATTTCTACCAAGTGTATAATTATGCTGAGTACATGTTTTATCTACGGTGACAGACAGTAAGTATTCCATGGGTGGAGCAGGTGAACAATGGAGAGAGGACCGTGCAGTACATTCAAGACTATGTGCAAGTAATCTTCCCTTGTCCACCTTCACTTCATACGTCTTCATTGTTGTGTCTCATGCTGGCAGGACGAAGTACTTGAAACAGCTCTGCAACGCTCTTACTCTATGTTCAAGGTGTGTCACATGCTAAACTATCATTCTAGGCTCTTTAGGATTTCTCTCTCCACTCTCTTCAGCTCTTCCATGGTTCATACACCGATGTATGCAACCAGGCAGGACAAGAGGGTTTAAGGGCAAGACTGCAGAGATTCTATTCTCGAGTGAGTTCCCCTATAGCTCTCTCTCTCCTGTACTGTATTGAGCCTTTCAGTGTTTCACACAGTACCTCCAGACAATAGATGTTGACAAATTGGACATATTCAGCATCTTTCAAGGTAAAGTGTTTCCATCATAATTATGTACCTGAATATAGGATGTGTATCCAGGGATGCAGTTCCTACCATTAGACAAGTACATGTACCTCAAGGCACACTGTTTCGTGAACCTCGTCGAAACCACGTACAGGTCAGTAAGGCATGAGTGTCAGGGTGTACATATATATAGTAACAGTGTCTTGTGTTCAAACACACAGAAACATTCAACGTACTGTTTTCCTCTATGGAGATCAGCTGGTCTGGTAAGCCATACTAATACCATTAGAGAGGAGAAATAAGGGAGGGAGGGAGGGATAAATGGTAGGTAAGGAGGAAAAGACTCTTGTCGGAAGTTGAACTCAGGTCATTGTGACATGAAGTTCAGTGCACTGAGTCACAACTCCCAGACAAGAGCCGGTCTCCCCTCTCCCCATAAGTACTACTGCCAGTTGTCGTTGACTAAGTATCTGGTACAGTGAGAGAGAGTTTGCCTGTAGGAGTGGGCTAGGTCAAGAAGACATCCAGATCTTCTACCAGTACCTGCTGACATGGCTGTTTCCCAACTGGGCCTCTGAGAACCCTGCCCTCGTGGCTTCACTGAACCCTCTCTCCCAACACTCGTCACTCTCCCTCTCCTCCCCTCCCATCTCCTCCTCCCTCCCTGCCTCACACCCCTCCATCGCCCTCACTAATGTCACAGGACCTGGGGGGTGAGTCTTCTCTACTTTCAACACAATAATTTGGGATTCTAAAGTCGTCTCATAAATGCATGAGTAGAAATGAAATTTGCTCGCACATCACCAAGTTGTAATTGTTTTTTGGGTTTGTAAGTGTGCGTGAGGACTTGCTGCATCCACTTAATGTTTCTGGGGGTCCCATCTCCAATGTTGTAAATCTTAACTCGACGTGAAATGTGGCACTACTTATGGGACCTTGGCAGCCGCACAATCCTTGTATTGATACAGCATCGGCCTTACGTTTGTTCACGTGGCTCGCCCCTTAATTTTGGATCAATAGCTGTGTATTATGAGACGTAGCTGCCTAAACCTCTTTCAGTTTCATACTGGGTCAGCCTGGTACCGGAGACCAAAGGAAGAGTCCGTGGGTCTATGTGACGGTCGACGGCCTCCTTCAGGGCTGCAAGCTCTTTGTCTTCAATGTGAGGAAATCAGCTATGAATACAATTAACTGACTCCCTCAGCACACCGACCTGGTATTTCTGTCCTTACATAGGTTGGGAGTGCCACCATGTGCTTCTTTGTCAAATGTAAGCCACAAACACTGCTCATAGATGTGGTGCCAACCTAATCCATGTTTGTCGTGGTGTGTTGTGTTGTGTGTGTACTCAGCTCTGGGGAAGAACTCGCCCTCGGCCGACTTCTGCAAGAAGCTGGGGACTTTTCTCAATCCTAGACTCTCTCAAATATCCAGAGAAATTGCCGATTTTATTGCCAAGTCCAAGACCCCCAGGTATGCAGTGGAAATCCACCCCTGAAACGAGGACACCTCTAAAGGACACCTTTTCTTTCCCGAAGACAAAAGTTATTGCAACAAGGACACCTCTCTAATTAGGACACTTTCTCCGTCTTGTTGATGTCAAGATTAGAGGGGTTCCATTCCAATGCCAGCATTAATTTTGATTATATTTCCCCCCCATTATATAGTACAGAGCAGCTGTACAAGTATGTCTACTTCAATGAGATGAACCTGGCAGTCAAGTCGAGCCGGAGCTCCCGCCGCAGCCCCTCCCCTTCCCACCACATCTCCCCCGAGGCCATGAGAATCATCATCGACCTCAACAGAGAGTACAACGAGTGAGCTCAGCCTTCACATGCATGTGTACCGGTGCAACTTTTGTTTTGTGGGACAAAAACACCTTGAACTTCGATGCATGTGGAAACGTTGCATGCAATAGACAACACTTCTATATTCAAGATACATGTTGGGAAGGACCATCATACCCATACATTGCAAGTTGCATGAGACGTTTGTTTTACTTATGTTGGCCTCAATGTCCGCACGCCCAATGTCCATATTATGTTAACACTGTATGTGCCATTAGTGGTCTCAATAGACTCTCAATGGTGAGGTTTTGGTGAAACTGAAAGCTACCTTGTCGTCGTTTTGTGTGTCGACTCTGTACAGACTGGATGAGGGCGAGACAATTATGAGGACATTGAGTGATTTCTGGGTCGTATGTCGCAAGTCCGGCCACCGAAGATTCTTCGTCATTCTCACTCAGAAAAATGCCAACTTTGCCGAGATTAACGGTCAGCCACTCCCATCATTATACTGAGTAATTTACCATTATCTGTTATCCCACAGAGGAGGTCCGGAAGTTGTGTCAGAGGGAATTCACAAACATCTTCTTTCTTGACTAACACACCGACATTCATTAGCCACTTTAACTCTCTGTGTGTGTGTGTGTGTGTGTGCGCCGTGTAAAGTCTAAACTTTACAGACCGTCAGCTTTTGCAGCTGTATATACATACCCTCCTGTATACTTTTCGGAGCATAAACGTGAGACTTACTATAGTCTGAACTTTAAACTGAGAAATGAAAATGAAACAGATTGTGTATACACACATGATAGTGGTAGTCTGGGGAGTGGGGAGTCTACCACTGAAAGGGAGCTCTCTCTCGCAGGAGCCTCACTCCGTAAAACTCCCACTCTTGTCTCTCGATCCACAGCTCCCGGGCCGTGTCCAGACAGTGGAGAATGACTCCGCCCCTCCAACCCACCATGGAGGACTCCAGGTCCTATATACCAGAGACAGGGGGTCAACAAACATCTCCACAATTTTTAGAGCTAGGTGGGAAAAAATCACCAGTCCTAGGTTTCGCTTTTCAAATGGGCCCTTCAGCAGCATTATTGTGAGACGGACTCCACTTGTGGGATTACTTCATGCTCTTTTGTGAGTGTTTGACTCTAGGCCACATTATTGGTTTGTTGTGCAAACTATTCTAAGCCATAACCTTCCAACCTACCATGGAAATGGTGCATAACATGCTGTTCTTTTGATGCGTGGTCAAGACCATCAATTGTGGTGGTGCCACACTTGTGTATGGGTTCCACATTTCTATATAGTGTGCTGAGGGTTTGCACTTCAGTGCTTTTCATTACCCTGGGATTAGTGAAGACCTCCACAGTACTCCCGCTGCCCTGAGGCACCCTCATCTCCAGTCTGGAGGTGAGAGCCGCAGCAGCTCCTGGGACGGCTAGGCCTCCTCCGACCAGCAGTACGCTGCCGTACAGCTTTTTCTTCATGTCCGGCGTGGCTGGAGGGAGAGGGTAGTTATTACCACAACCCCTTTCATTAACTCTCTGTTGATGGAACTATCTACCGAGAGTTGTAAGTAGAAAGAAAGAGTGGTAGAGAGAAACTAGCTATAGTTGGCACAATCTTTTGCAACACTACTGGAAAGTGAGGATTGTAATGTCTGGCTGGAGATTTTTTCAGAGTGAGCTCAAAAAAAGGCCACTACTATCCAATACAGAGTAGTGTTTGTGAAGTGCTCACAGGCACAGTCGATGCTGAAGTGAATTGCTTGGTCCAGACTCAATATCTTCCCTGGTGGCACGTTCTGGAGTCTCAGTGTGGCCTGGGGGACCACTTCCGGGGGACCCCCTGAAATCTGCCCCCCCGACGAGGGTTTCACGGACTGGGTCCCCTGTGTCTGATCTGTCCAGTGGGCCTCATCGTACAGGTCTTCAGAATCTGCCGCCAGTGGTGGCTGACCTGGGAACACAAATACCACTGGTGCAGTTTTCAAAAAAGTTACAGTGTCTGACACTTCAGCTGGTAACGTTGAATATTGTTTTTAAGTGTCGATTTGCAAGGTTCCACTAATTGGCCATCAGAGTTCAGAGTTCAGATACACGTATGTAGGCACGTACCAGCCATGAGGTGTCTGTTGTCAGGGAGACAGAAGGACGAAGGAAAGAAGACGCCCATGGGAGCCAAGAGGGCCTCGTCCGACAGCTTTATGTCGTAGTCCAGCAATTTTCCCCGGGGTCTTGCTCATTACAGAGAACTGGTAGTCGTGGACGCCGTGCTGGGTGGCATCCATGTGGCAGATGCTCTCTTTCAGTTGCTGGAGCAACACTCCGTCCAGACAACTGTCTCTCCTACACTCTCGGTAGGGGAATCCACTCTGGTGACAGAATCATAGTAACTATTGATGAGATTATGGGAACTGGTAACGACAGAATGAGTTTACGGGAACTGGTGAGCGACGGAATGAGATTTTTGGAACTGGTAAGAGAGTGTACAAGAAGTGAGACGTAAGGCAGAATGAACCACGGGACCATACCTGATTGACAAGCCAGTAAAACAATCTTGTTATGTCACTTCCACCGTAGTTCAGGATAACTCTTTGAAGGGAAGATTTACAAGATCATGTGACATTTTGTAAGGAGATCATGTGACATCACCAGACCTGGTGTTGGGGTTGGACATCCCGTCCTCCACGCAGCAGATGTGTGTCACCTCATCTCCCACGTCCACCACACAGGCAGAGCTGAGCCCCGCACTGTAAGTCGCACACACACTCTCCTGCATACAAACACCATATCACCAAAAGATCTCTAACACTTTCACAAATCACTCCATTTCTTCACGAATGCCATCAGCTGCTGAATGTGTCACGCCTATTATTTTACGAAAAATACTTTAGTTGTTTCATAAGCTCTTGAAAGTATTTATTAATTTCAGTCGTGAATATGCTTAGTTACATGGTCGTGTTAACCTGGTGCAAGATAGCAGCTGCAAACTCCATTCTAAAGACGACATTCATCATCTCCTTCAGCAGCTGTCTGTCGATGGCATCTGGGACTAACAGAACCACCTGACAGCTCTGGAGTATACGCCACACATGATAATGACATCACCATTACGTCACTGTCTGAACCTTGAACTCCTTGCGAGGGAGGTCGAGGTAGTCCTCAATGGCGTGTGTCCAGAGGTCCTCCAGCATGCTGAGAACGGAGGAGAGAGAGTGGGAGGGAGGGATGTGCAGACGACCATTCCTGATGGGCTTGTACACCTGGTACCCACTGTCAGGGGGCAGGTAGAGCACCTGGAGGAGGTTTAGCCAGAAAGCTGCTGAAAATACACAAAAGCTGAAATAAGTTGTTTGCTATGTTTAAACTTATGGGTCGCTTTGCAACATTTGGATAACAAAGGTAATGCATAATCGTTTGAATGAAGAGAAGAGAGGGCTGACCTCACTTCCAATGACGAAGGTGGGGTTGCCAGAGAGGTCAGTGAGGGAGAGTTCGCTGCTCTCTCTCTCGGCCGGCCCCTGCCGCTGGTTGAACTCCGTGTACTCCGCCGTATCTACGTCTCTCCCTGCCACGTCGAGACTGCGACGATAGTCCTTCAGAGCTCTCCGAACTGCCTCCAGCCCCTCCTCCCTCTGACTCTTCAACTCATCCTGGACACACAATAGAGGTTTGAACTGTACGCAATTATGGAATTTTTCCGGAAGTCAGCCGTCTTGGAAGGCAAATACGCGCATTCTTTTCTACATGGAATTCTTACACTTAGGATTTTTCACTTACAGTTATCTCTGTCTTGTATTCTAGTACGAGACTCGGGTTTTCTGCGTCATTGGTCTGCTGAGGATCACGTGGGCCGGACTGGTGGTAGGCGATGAGGTGTGGGATGGCCTGAGGAGCGCTGTCAGAGGCGAACCCCACGTACAGGTAGCTGGAGCCGGGGTGGAGGATTATGGCCTCTCTCTGGGTCGGGCCTGCCTCGTTCTGGACGGCCCAGTCATAACAAACACACACACACACAGTGGTAGAAATACGGGGTATGTGTTTGCAGGAGATGAGGGTTACGTATGCCGACCTGTGCTGGGAGCTCATCTTGCTCCTGCTCTGCCTGGGGAGCCTTTTTCTCTGTCTTCCGCGGCATTACAGCTTTTCACTTTTGCCTCTCGTGCTAGCTCCGCCCTTTACAGTATACGCATGCGCCGAAATCCGCACGCAACGTCACAAAAAACTGTCATGAGCAAACTGATGGATATGCTAGATCATTATTTCATATTCTGCCTCATTCTCAGTAGAATAGGCTGGAGGTTGGTAACATCTGGGATTCTCATATCCAGTACTACGAGGGAGTGTGGGTACGTCATATGTGGGCTCATAAGGAGAAGCGAGAGAGCTGTATTCTGGCACCTCACTGGGGACATCAGGTGCCTTCTTGGTGGGGGAAGAATAGAGAGGACACTCGATGGAGGTGCTGGACTCCTTTCTCTGTTTCTTGGTTGGGAGGCTTGGTGATGGGGAGGTGGATAGGAGGAGAAGGTCAGAGTCTGGAGAGGTTGCAGGAGTTTCAGAGTGAGAGAGAAAAACTGGACCGCCGGTAGAACAGGAGGATAGTGTTGGGTTGAGAGTGGGGAGAGGCTCAGGTGTTAGCGTGTCGTAGATGGACCTGAATTGCAGACGCCCTGAAAAATGAATTAGTCAACTTTATACTGCGTTAATTTAGCAAGTCAGATACCTTGATTTCCTTTTCCCGGCAAAATATTACTGCTGTAGATGTGACTTTGCATCATTTCCACGTATTCATTTTCTAGAAAATAAGTAAAATGTAGACAAAATTATTATAAATAACACCTGAATTGAAGTATATACCTTGCTCTTCTGGTTCATTAGCTGGAGATGCTTTCCTTCTCTGCCTCCTGATGCACACACAGCCCAGGCAAACAACAGATAGGATCCCTGCAATTCCCAAGAGAGATGCTGCAGCAATGGCGAAAAAGACTGCTTGAGGCAATGCTGTACGCGTGTCTCCGATTGGAGGTGGTACTGTGATGTAGGGTCCACTGGGAAAATGTGCAGTTTTGTCTTCTGCTGTTTGAGAAGCAACTGGTGAAGGATTTGTGGTGGTGCTAGGGAAGGGGACAATGGGGTAGGAATATTCAATAGTTGTTGTAGCAGAGGGGAAGTGAGAAATATCTTCAGCTGATGGAGTGGTTGTGGCGATAGGAACAACAGGAACTGCAGGGGAGAACAAAAGTATTTGCACTACTTGAAGGAGTTTCTCATTAGCTAGATCATACATTAACACCATGCCATCTGCAGATTTCACTGTCAACTATGGAATGGTGGTGGGCAACTTTGTGGACCTTGACACGTGGATTCAGGATTAGCACTCCAAGTGCTAGGAAACACAATGTGAGACTTACTCATATCCACTGTAATCACAGGTGCTGCTGTGATATTCATTGCAACGATTCCCTCACGAATGCAAGGCAGAGTGGGTGGTAGTGCTGGGGCCGTCCAGGCATACGTGGAGATGTCCGTTCTGTTTTCCACCATCACGCTAGCAGCGCCTTCCCCGAGCTCTAGGCCGCTTGGCCATTCAACTTCATAATGCCGCACGCTGAATCCCACGAAATCCCCTGGCTCCACCGAGAAACGGTCCTCAACCGGCACGCTCAGCGTCACCGAACCCAGAGCTTCTCCGTTGGAGTCCAACTCCGGCGCGAGTCCCGAATTGGAATTTTCGCCAACTCTGACGTACGTGCACCCGTCGGCGGGTCTCCAGACCGAGAATGTCATCTCGTACCTGTCGTATCGGTTTCGCCGTCGCTCCACGTGAGCCCTCCATCTCGTCACAGCCCCGGCGCAGGTGAAGGTGTAGCTGGGAACGATTGCACTGATTCTGTTCATCAGTCCCTCTCGCTGGAGGTGCTCAGTGGTGTCGCGGAACTCTGGAAGACCGCTCAGTCCGCATACTTCCTGGCATTTTGCCAGACTACAACAAGCCAGAAGGAAAAAGCCGACGGTAGTACCGACCAGTTTGCTAGCAGACATCTTAGCTGCGATAAAATCAGGAGTAAAAGACAGGGAAAGCAGAGGGATGCTCCTTTTATTTTAGGCATCCGAACTTCGCGGGCTGCCAGTTTGCGCATGCGTAGTTACCGCTATAAAAATCGTGCGCGCGCACTGTTTAGCTGAAAATTGGAAGCCTGGGAACAATGGCTGTCTCTTCCCAGGGGTTACTAGTGTTTACAACGCTACTACTACAGGTGACGTGGACGCAAGGGGGCTGTGGATGAGCTGTGAATCACGTCCAGTGTTCACTACATACAGGTAGCCGTTTCAGTGGACGATACAGGATCTTGTAGAACGACCAACTACCAACACGGCTGTCGGGAGGAAGTCTGCCAGCTCTCCGTGAGCTGGAGGAAAGAGACGAAGGATGAATTGAGTCTACGAGTCTCCGCCCTTGCCCTCGAAGACAACTGGAGTACGACCATCTCTCTCAGCAGAGCCTCCATAGAGGTAGCGCTGTAACTGTACGTACGTTGATCAGGTCTCATTTCCTGGCACCCTCAGGTTCAATTCACATGTCAACGGAGACATGGAGAGACGGCACATAACTGTTCCGTTGGCTGCCTGAGTGCCAATATAACCTACCACGACCACCACCTAGACTGCAGGTTGGAGAGGAATTGTAGCATTTGGCTCTACGTGACTTTGAAGTGTGGCATTTCTAACGATCTAGGTTTACTGTGGACGACAAAGGAACAATTTCAGACCTCATTTCTGGTCCCGTCTCTCTCCTCGTGTCTGGTGCAAATGACTCTGGTATTGAATTGCTGTCTTGATGTTAGTATAGGAATTGTTGTTTTCTCTCCCACTGTAGTTGGTGGTGCCCAGTGGGTGAGTCCGGGTTGTCTGTGTGATGTAAGAAACTGCAGAGACATCTGCGACAGCTGTACCACCGAGGCAGGTGGTGGTGGAGACAAGTGTCACTCGATTCTCTCTCTCCTTCTCATCCGCTCTCACGGTCTGCTTCTCTTACGCAAACTATATATTCACTTGCTACCTTGCACACTGTGTTTGCTGCACGTGTCTGACAATGGTATGGCACGCTAATATGTATGTCTCCTCCTCTTCCTCTCAGCTATCCTGATGGTGATGACGTTCCTCTTGCTGGTACCGCTGGGGGTCGCAATCTCCCGTTACTCCAGACCAGTGTTCCCGTACTCGTGGTTCAGAGCCCACGCTGCCGTCAACTCTGCCACTCTCGTCCTCATACTCCTAGGTCTGGGGGCTGTGCTCGGTCACACGGGAGGGAAATTCACCGCCGTAAGTTGCCAGCCAAGTGGTCCTTGGCTTCATTCAGTCATTCCTTAGTGACTGCGTGGAGTTCTTTTATCTATATATATACTCCTTGTTTGGCAGGGTCTTCATCAGATAGCAGGGATCATCTGTATAACCCTCTTGCTGCTTCAGGTATATACTAGTTTTGGTGTCCTTTTTCCCATTGTGCGTTCTTTTCATGTGGTGTTTCGCAATAGGCATTGTGCGGGTACCTCAGACCTGCCGCAGGCGTATCTCTGCAGTAAGTGATGATGTCATATCTAGTCATGTGATATCCCGTGTGTTTGTCTGTGTACATGTCATGTAGGAGGCGTGTCTTCAATGCTGTACACAGAATTAATGGAGCTACAATACTCGGAATGGGAAGTTAGTAGTAAATCAATCAATAACTCATTTGTAATTCTTACAAATCCCCCCCACTTCTCACTCTCTTCTGCAGCGCTAGCAATGCTGCTGGGATCGGTAATATATCGCAATTCCATCTACCCTCTGGTCCTGCTGGTGTTAGTACTGGGAGTGGTGGTGGAGCTGCTGTTTTTCCTCGGGCTGGAGATCGTCATGAGGAGAAACTACAGTTCAGTGATGATATATACGTACACACACATGCCTGTGAGGATATCGAGTGACTTTTTAATGGTTGTGTTTTGAAACTTAGATTTACTGGTGCGTTCGGGTCTGGTTTTACGATTTGTCGTTTTTCTGTTCAGTGATCTCGGTGCCTGTTGGTTACCAGAAGGTGGATGGTGGGGATGGGGAGGAGGAGGGGGAGGGGGGAGGGGAGGGTGAGAAGGGACAAGAGTTACAGGTGATGAACGGAAATGCAGGTGGGGCGAAGGAGGCAGTCCCAAAAAGCAACGTGGATTCAAAACCACGTCAGTCTCACACGGCGACAAAGGTATATAAAACTCTCAAACGTGAAATTTACCTCTCTCTCCTTCTGGTTTCTTCTCTCTCGTTTCCTCACAGAGATTGTTGGATGCCTTCACCATCCAGGCATTTCTGTTCAGTGTTGCCGTTGGCATCCTCATAATGTACGGCAGTCACTAGTAGTCTGTCCGTGTGGCCTAGCCTGGAGCTGTTTTCATCACCTCTCACCAGTGATTCCTTCGTCTCTCTGAGTACTCATCAATCATTCAATCATTTATCACTGTTGTTCACTCACCCAACCATGATGAAATTTTCAACACTAGACTATGGTTCATAATGGAACACGTTTCTTCGAAGAGGGGACAGTTTTCTTCCGCCAAAATAAAGACTGTGGCATGCAATAATAAAGGACACCCAATTATCTTCGTTAGTGTATATACAGATTACGGGGTTCGCGCGGTCGTCGGGTCAAAGGTTGGGCGTGGAGTTGCGTAATGATGCGCTCGGAGGTGCTGCGCGTGAAAAGCGACAGATCAGCTGCTAGAGACGGCCTCCAGGTGAACATCGGCCACAGATGGTAAGACTTGGATTGGACATGTGAATCAGCCGCGTTCACTACGCTCCGTAGTGCCGGTTTTCGCGGTAAACCCGCGCCATCCGACCCGATCTCCTTCCTGCACTGGATCATTCACACGTATACTTATACCTTGGCCGACCCCTGGGACCGGGCGGGGCGACGTGGTAGGCGTGCCTCTCTCACCTCTCTTCTCTCTCTCCTTCCTCCCAGACGGCGGCCAGCTCGGAGGAGAGCGTGAGGACGGAGCTGGAGACGCTGCTGGACTCTTTCTTCTCTCCCACTGCCACAAATGATCAGAGACTGAAAATCAGTGCGTCTGCCTCCTTCTCCCCGCTCCTGTCTCTTTCGTCAAACTATCTTTCTCTCTCTCCCTCCTCTTCTCTCCAGATGAGCTACTGGACAGCTTTGCTCAGCAGCAGGGGGTGTGGCTATGGCGATACTGTGTCTATTTCCTCCAGACGTCCACCAACCACCATCTTCTCATGTACTCACTGAACCTGTTGGAGGTAACCTGCCTTACCCGTTTTCCCCCAGAACATAATTCTATTGCAATACTTAGAACTTGGTGACGTACAAGTGGCTGTCAATTGACCCCGCACAGAGGGTGGAGCTTCGTCAGTTCCTGACCTCTCACCTCCTTGCCCACCACGCCTCCCTCCCTCGTTTCCTTAGCAACAAGTTTGTCAAAGTGATCACGTTCATCGGGCGATCTGATTGGCCGCATGAGTACCCAGACTTCATCCGGAACATTCTACAGGTAACGAGTCACCTCCTGTCTGTGGCTGGAAACATCTTCTTGTCTGTCTTCTTACATCCTTTGAGAACACTTGCTGCAATCTCTGTTTACTCTCAGTTAAGCAACTCTTTATCTGCAGTGTATTTACTCTCACTGCAAACTAGTCAGAATGGTTTGTATGACTGTCCTTCTCGTCTTGTTACATTCAACCAACTTTCTCCATCAATATTTCCCACCTCTCTCTCTCTCTCTCTCCAGCTACTGAGAGGGCAGGAGACAGTGGTGGTGGGACTGCAGCTGCTGCAGACAGCCTCAGAGGAGCTAGGGAGCCCGCGCTCTGACCTCCTCACCACCACACGCCGCGAGACCCTCCTCTCCCTCATGACTCAGGAGATCCCCACCTTCCTCTCCACTCTCATCTCCCTCCTCAACTCCGTCGCTGAGAAACAGCGTCACACCATCGCACCGACCCCGCCCCCTTCTCCCGGGGGTTCGCCTCTCCGACACACGACCCCTCTCATCAGAGTCGTGACCCCTCCCCGACCTTCGCACCCTCACCTCTCCCCGTTCACCACGCCCACTCAGTCCCTCCTCGCCAAATCCCCATCATCGCCACACCCACAGGTCCCCGCCTACCAACCGTTTGGTCCTCTGGACCCGAGACTGGAGGAAGTGTGCGTCGGCTGTCTCTCGTGTCTCTCTCATCTCTTCAGCTGGATGCCCCTCTCTAGCAACATCACCCCACAGGTCCTCGACACCATCTTCTATTTCGCAAGTCTAGGCTGCGAGAGCGCGGAGGATTCGTCGGACGTGGCCGGCCTCCTCGGCTCCCTCGCCATGGATTGCGTAATCGAGCTGCTCGTGAAGAACTGCGTCCCGCGAGAATTCGAGGCTTTCCTGATGAAACTGTTTGACAAGTCGTTTTCTCTGCTACAGAGACTGACAGGAGTCACTGAAAGAGGAGAACCCATTAATTTCTTCCATCTTCATGAGAGGTATATATACCATAGTATAGGGTTTTACAGAGTAGCTTGTGAGAGGTGTCCATTCTCTGCAAATTTTGTCTTTTTTGGTGTGAAATCATGAACGAATGTTCTTGCCTCGGAAAGATTTCTGCACGTCTCTCTCTCTGCACGTCTCTCTCTCTCTCTGTCTGTCAGGTTCCTGGGGAAATGTAGCGACTTCTTCTACTGGTTTGTCAACTCCCACCTCAAGAGGGTGGAGTTCAACCCCAACTTCCCTGTTCTAGAGTTCCTCTCTCTCTTCTACAAGTACACCTTCAAACAGGTATCAACATATATACCATCACTACCTGTAGCGGTCTTTTCATCAATATTCACTCTTTTTGTTCTCGCAATTCTGGAAAAAATAAAATTATGCACGAAAAGGATTTTACCTGGTGCATACCAAGTGCATGTACATGCGAAAATGACAACTGGACCAACAAAAAAAATTTACTGAATGTAAAACCTGAATCGCCTCCCCCTGTCGCAGCCAGGGGTGGACAATTTTTGTGTGTGTCTTGGAACGTGGGGAGTGTTTCTGGATCACCTCATTATGATGTCATCGGGAATCCACGGCGGACAGTCTCCGCCCAACAACGACCACTATGAGAGGTAGCCCCCTTCAATCAATTGTCAATTGTGTTAGTCTTCAGCTCTGATTCACCCAGCTTTCTCTTTGTGCATGCTTGGATGTAGTGGGTGGGTGGGAACTACAATACCACCACCTCACTGTTTGGCTTTCTTTAGATTTTAATATTCTTCCGGAATATTCTTGTTCTGTGTGCAGGTACCGAGAGATCTTGGTGAGTATGATGGACAGTATTCTGAAGAAGATTCAGTTGAGACACAACATCAACGAACTGAGGGAGATCGACGACGATACAGTGGACGACGACGTGAGTTTAGACCTGGACACACTCGGTTCAGGACACCGATTCAGGACACCGTTTTAGGACACAGTTCAGGACGGGGTGTTTATATCATGGATAGCAGTTGATTCAGGACAAGGTTTAGGACATTGTTCAGTCTAGGAAGATTAGGACAGCAGTTGGTTTAGGACACAGTTCAGGACATCATTTAGGACACAGTTCAGGACCAGGTGTGTTCCTCCCCCTCCCCCAGAATGAGACGGAGTGGCAGAGTTTTCTGCGGCAGAGTCTAGAGTACGTGGCAAAGGTTGCGAAACTCTTCCCTCTCCACGCCTTCAGTCAGCTGGTCCCTCTCCTGGAGTCTTACTCCAGTGTCTACCTCAGTCTGGCTCACCTCATCTCTCGGAGTGGAGACTGTGAGTTCTCATCTAATACTAACCTCATAACTTGATTTTACAACAGAATATTGTTTTACACTTTACAAATCTCCCACCTCATAACTTGTGGATTTTAGAGCCGTTTACGACAGAATATTGTTTTCCAGTCTCCCACTATTTGCTCTGCCGTAGAATGCAAACTTTCATTATTGCCAGTTCCATGGATTATGTTTGGTTGAGAATAATGTTCACAGGTTGGGGCGAGAGCTCTGCATTCCTTGTACAGTAGATTTTCCTCTGTTTATCACTGTTTCACTTCCCCCAGCTGCCACTCTAGCAATAGCGGACGGACCAGACTGCGAGAAGCTCCACGTCGTCCTGAAAGACCTGGCCTCTGTCCTGCAGGCTCTGGGCGGAGTCTCAGAGCACTTTGTCGATGGGGCATTCACAATGCGTCTCCACGACGCCCAGCTCCTCGTGAGGAAGTTCTGCATCATTGCCAAGTTCAGCACAGACAACCTCCTCTTTAACCTCTCCACTCCTATCCCCGAGATCCTCAGTCACGACTTCATCGAAATGTACGACAAACTACCACAGTTTCCCATTTATCATTCTGTCGTTTTTCTTCTTTTTTCAACCTTGAGTCTCCCCCTTTTCTCCGCCTTGTGCTCTTACTTCCTCTCAACAACCACCCTGTCTTTTTTCCTCTTTCTTCCCTTCTCTCTCTCTCTCTCTCTCTTCTCTTTCTCTCTCTCTCTCTCTCTCTCTCTCTCTCTCCTCCCTCTCTCTCTCCTCTCTCTCTCTCTCTCTCCCTCTCTCTCTCCTCTCTCTCTCTCCTCCCTCCCAGGCATGCACAGGTGCTAGGATCAATCCAAGCCTTCACTCACTGGCTGTCTGAACTATACCTCGTCTCTCAGAGGACTAGTAGCCAATACACTGATACTGTCATGTGGTTCGCCTCCGCCATTGTCGACTCCGCCCACCCACTAATTGCAAGGGATATCCCCGAAAAAGTCGTCCTCTCCGCCTGCCAGCTGCTGTTGTCGTTGGCAACCACAGTCCGCCTGAAATTCGCACTCTCGCTGCCAGGAGTGAAGGAGTTAACCAAGAAAGCCAAGGACGGGGAGCTCGGAGATATTCCTCACAGAGTGAGCAAAGGGTTCTAACGTAACATTCTCCATTATCCATCTTCTTCACCATTCAGGCGCAGTGTATGGTGTACAGAGCCCTGACCAACATGTTGGTTCTCGCCTGGCCCGAAACCAGCGACTCACAACAGCAGTGGGAGTGGCGCACTGCCGAGCTCACCCAAGTGGTTGCTGGGGCAACCAAGGTGTTTACGGAGCTATGCGGGACGAGTGGGTGGAGCCAAGAGGAGTGGCTTGTCCAGCAGGCCAAGTCCCCCGTCCGCCACTGTCTCTCTCTCCTACAAGATCTCGTCTCCTCGCTGTCGGCTGAAAGACCGAAATCAAAACAAATGCTCTTCGCGGCTCTCTCTCCCTCTCTTGACTTCATTGTGTCTCTCTTCTCGACCTACCTTCATCATTCAGAGGTCCTAGCCCCGCTCATGGGGTTCTTCCACGCTCTGTTTCACTCCATGAGGGCACAGGTCGGCTCCGCCCTCACCGAGAAGACGATACACACGTTCATGGCTCTGTTGACGAGAGAGCATCTGCAGGAGGCCCTCGCAGAGGAGGCCAGTCTCGCATCACAGGTCGTCGAGAAGTACGTCAGTAATCTAGTTGGTATTCTAGTCAGTAATCTTCAGTAATCTGGCTAGTTTAATATTAGTCAGTATTCTTCTACTAGTAATCTATCTGTAATGTCAGTAAACTGTCACTCACTAGCCATTATCAAGCAATCAGTCAGTTTTTCTATTGTTTTGGGCTGGTCATTAATCTTCCTCGTACTCTAGTAACCTAGTACTCCAGTAATCTCTAGTATACCACCCCAGGTTCCTCAGTATACTGAAGCTGCTGGTGAGTGAGGGGACGTCAGGTAACAGAGATCTCCTCTCGTCAGCCATTCAGTTCTCACTGAGACAGATCTACCCCATCATCTCTGAGAAGGCTGCTCCTGACGTCAAATCTGTCCTCTTTGATCTCCTGTTCCAGCTACTGCTGAACAACTGGAGGTGTGACGTCTCTGTCTCTCTCTCTTTTCTCTGTTTAAAATATGATCCTAACACATGCGCGTTAACTCATTATTCTCGCCTCTATCCCTTCACTCCTCTCAAATAAAGGTTCGAACGGTTTTGCGTTTTTTGCAGGCACGTGAGTAAACGAAATGTCAAACAAACCAACCATAATACTTTGACTATAGTTTGAGAGTGGAATAGCAACACAATCTTGCACCATTTTGCCTTTTGTTTATTTTCGCTATCCGTTCATTCCTCTCCCCACCCCTGGTGTGACTCTCTCTACAGGTTCTTCTTCCCTCACTCAGTTCTCTCTCACATGGAGGGAGAGGCAGTTGACCTGTCTCTGGTACACAGAGAAGACTTCTTTGCCATCATGGAGGTAAAACCCCACCCTCTCTCTCCTCTCTCTCTCTCTCTCACTCCCTCCCCCTCTTGTCCTGGCCACAGGCATTTGGCCATTCATTTCTACAGAAGGACATTGCTCTTTTCAAGCAGAACTTGTCAGCTCTGGAGACACTCAATAAGAAACACAAACTATACTCAAAGGTCGGCTATCTTTGCTCCCTTATTCCCCCTATTTTCTTGATTAACTTAGTCTTATTTTTTACTCGCACCAATGTACTGTAAGATGTACAAAGATTATGAAACACTCATTAATTGGTCGCGAAGCTATCATTCCAACATACCAACCTGTGGAACCAGGAAAAATCAATTGTTCAAGAAATTTGAATGACTGAAAGATGTGTTTCCATTTATCTTGGGTCAGGTTCAGTTCAGAGATCACATGTTGCATCCTCTGCTGCGAGTGCTGCTGGAGGCTCTGGTGAGCAAGTCCCACAGCCTCCTGCAGGAGGAGATCTGTCTCGGGGTGCACAGCATGGCCGCCGTCCATTTCCCCTCGTACCACCAGCAGTTCATCCTCCAGTACCTCTCCTCTGTGGAGGGACTCTCAGACACACATCGCTCCTTGCTGGCCCAACAGTACAAGATGGTCGAGGTAACGTTTGCCTTTTCCATCCTCTCCCTTCCAGGCAAAATTTTTCATTATCGTTGGTTTTTTCTAGAATTTCCTCACTTTAGAAACGTAGGGGCTTAATTTGTGACACTACTCTCACTTAATTGCTGATTCAGTCCTAGCCGAGGTTTTTTTGAGGTTGTGTGGTGCTTGTTTCTGCAGGATCTCCCGTCGTTTGTCCTCAATCTTCAGCAGTTTGTCAATGACCTTCGCTGCTACATCATCCTCAGTCGCAGTGTTCCTGGGGGCTCCGTCAGCCTCACTTGACAAACTCCTGCCTTTCTCACCCGTTTTTTTTGTTATTTTGAATTTCACATTTCACTTGAGTTTGCGTTCTCAAGTTGCGCGCGCGGCCGCAGCAGCTCCACCCAAATGACGTAATTGCTCAAGCACGAACGAGCGCGCAGGCCCGGAAATTTTTTGCCGACCGATTTACGCCACGGATCGATGCCATACGGAGCGATTTAGCGTTTACGGCAGTCGCTCTACGTTCGAGAGAGAGATATATAGCTGTCGAGGAAGGGATGAGCAGTGATCCAGATGGGCTCCGACATTCCTGTCTTACTACTGACCGTTTACTACTGCTGCTGTCTAGTGACCCAAACAAAGTAAGTCGGTTCCCTAGATCTGCATACAAATACTGTAGTGCGATCTCACCTGCACTGATAATCTACGTAGCTAGCACTAAGATGCGACCGTTTGTTCGCTTCAGGAGTTGCTGCGGCAGGTTGTAGTCCCGCATTTCCCGAAGAGTCAACTATACGCTCCGCTCAAGCTGCAAGCACTGAGGGATTGCAGGTCTTCGTGCCTTCCTACGCATTTACCTGCAATGGACTCATCACCAACGTCTTGATTGGAGCTGATGGCTCTGGGGGAGATGATGGATTTGTATTTCAAATCTGGCGACCTACAAGTGACGGGACTTTCGCTCTCATACGGAGTATAGATACCTCGGGATCTACGCAGAGGATTTCAATGAATAAGCTGAATTTCACTGCATCTATACCAGTATTGAGTGGGGACACTATTGGATATCGATTGCAGCCAGTCGCTCAGGGAGACGAGATGCATTTTCTTCTCAATGGTAATGAAAGTCAAGGAGTGGATATACTGACTATGTCTACCTCAGAGGTAGTCTGTCAACTCTCTCCTTGTGACAGCCTCTACACAACAAGAACTGGTTCAGCTCCGTTAATATCTGTTGAATTTGGTGAGTAAAATACCGTATCATAGCCCCATACATCTAGCTATGTACCATGCCAAGCTAGCGTACTTAGTGATAGTGTCAGTGCACAGTAAAGCTGGAACCAGCTTGTTCAACATTGCAAAATATGATCTTGTCACAGCTGCCTGGGGGTTCAGTCTAGTGGGATTATTGCGTGCTAGACACAACACGATAATGACACGACTTCCTACACTCCATCATACTTGTGTGTGTGTTTTCTTATTGGAAGACCCAGCAAATCCCGTCACCTTGGTGTATACAAACACAACTGTCTGTGATGAATAAACTCACTCAACGTCCTCCATTCTCTCTCACTTGCAGAGGAAGGAGAAACAGCAGAGGTGAATTTGGAGACCCGGTGTGTACCGCTCAAGATGTGCCGCCTTGCAGAACATTTGACAGTCTTCCATCCACTTCTTCCCTCCCTCCCACCACCTCCCCCTCCCCCACTGCACCAGTCACCACCTCAGCTACCAGCTCTGCCTTCTCCCCCATCACTGAGGACCCCACTGCCACCCAGGGAGAACAAGAAGAAAGTGACACTCTCCTAAATCTGAACCTTACCAAAGAGACAGTCATAGTACTGGGGATTGGAGTGTTGTTGTTCATAGTGCTACTGGTACTGGTGGTTGTTCTTGTGGCCTGCATATTTCACAGGAGAAAGCCGGTCCAGTTTCGCTTCAAGACTCCGCCAGCTGGTCAGTTTGTGTTTATAGTGTAAGTAAAGTTTGTGTTTGCTGAAATTGGTCAAATGTTGAGACTGGCACTCTCGTTCTGGATGTGATTGTACCAATTTCCTCGCCTCCTCTCCCCCTCACTCGTAGCAGGAGTAGCAACACAATACATGTGGCCATACTTTAGCCAGTATATATACACAGAGTCCATAGAGGCATTCCTGTCATTATGTTGCACCTGGCAGAGCACGTCTTTGTCCAATTACTCGCCGCTTTTGGAGTTCCGCTAGTGCTTTTCCTAGTATGGAACACCTCTAGCTGTTTACCTCATCACACACACACAATCTTTCTTGCATTGGCTCACTTTGTAGCCCTAATTCAGTGTGACCATTGTCACATGTCTCCAGGTACAGTCATAGGCACTGCAGTGACTGGAGTGAGAGTTGTCTCTCCAGAGACTACCGTCCACCATACAAACGGGATTTCTGTCTCAAGCAGGAGCGACGAGATGTACATCAACTCTGCAATGCAGACTTCTCTCGTCAGTGGGACTCGGAGTAACGGGAGTGCCACGCCCAATCATGGCTCCCAGGATCCCCTGATCTCCCTCAGATCATCATGATATTGACCACACCCACCGCGGTCGTCGGATGAGGTCACCTCTCTTGCCGCCCGACTCTCCCCCAGCACACACCCCCTCCGTACTGCCCAGATCCTACCGAGACCCCAGGGTACACCCACACTCCACTGCCAGAGCTCCCCGAGACCACTCCCCCTCCAAGATGGCTTTCCTCCCTCCCTCGTCCTCATCATCTCCCCGCTCTGGATCAATCCCTCCCTCTTTCTCCCTGCTACCGTTCCTCCTCCTGCCTCCATTGCTCTCCACCTGTCATCTCATGCTGTCTCTACACCTTCTGTAGATTCCATTCCTCCAGCGGCTAGCTCCCCTCCCCTCCCCACACCTCTCACTTCCCACCTTCCACCCTCTCCACCTCCTCCCACTTCTCTCTCTCCCTCACTAGCTACTAATTCAGACGGAAACGAACCAACTGACACCTCGCGAAATCATAACGCTTACATCATCTCTTCAAAGACTGGGAAAAGAACGCGACCCTACGATCATCTCGTCGAAACAGAAAACGAGCGGGGCACCCCTCATCTGCTACCCAGACCAGAGAGTGAAACAGGCTCTCGAGGCTCGAAGTACATATATACTTACGTTCCCAACAGAGGAACAGAGGAGACTGTTGCAACTACAGAACACTGGTCGATACGAAGTCACTGAGGAAGTCACCGAAGTGAGCCACCCCTCCTTCTCTCTTCTTTTCTCCTCTCTCTCTCTCTCCTCTTTCTAAACCGTCCACCTATCTCTGCAGGTAAAAGGCTACGATCGTCTGAGGTTCTTCAAGGAAAGTAAGACCTTCTGGTCGCCAGCCGCCACCACCTCCGGTCTCTATGCCCAACTCTACGAGAACAAGTACAGAGAACTCCCCAGGGAACAGATCGCGTGAGCCAAACCTCAATCAGTCCTCAGCTGTACAAATGAAGCCTGTTGTGGTAATGTGCATGGGTCATTATCAGCTTCAGCTGACAGTTGTGGAGTAAATGTGTGTGTGTGTGTGTGTGTGTGGTGTTCTGATAAGGCAGGGATGAGGGCAGAGTATTTCAGCAATGCTTGTGGTCAGGATGTGCTTAATTTAGCGTTTAGTTACCTCCACGCAATGCTTGACAGTGTCTGAGTGGTAAGGTAAACACTTGTTACCCTCCTTTGAATGGCATGTCCTAATGGAGCAGCCCTCTCTCCATATGCTGTGAACGGTATTGGGCCTTCACACGCCTTCACACGGCGGCAGAGTGCGAAAAGGAAATGCTGGCTGGGACAAAAACTTGGCAGAGGAGCTCCCAGATCTCCCTGCATGGCTGAGTCTCCTGCCAACCTCAGGCCTATTATGTATCTCCTCCTCAACGCCCCATTGAAAAGCTAGACCTTAGCAGCAGTATATCACCTCCCTTTACTGGAATCATACCTCACATGTACACTCTCACACGAGCTTACATTTCCCAGCATTTTTCCAGATCATGTTACATGTGGTAAAGACTATAGTATAAGTACGATGGGAAACACTTGCTATTAGGTGTGTATGGATCTGGAGGTCCTGCTGTGTATGTTTCCACACATCAAGTGCTGCACTAGTCAACACCACCTCCTTTTAGAGACCACCAGTTATCCCGTGAAGGAAACTCTCACTTCTCCTGCTTCACACACACACACACACACACACATACGAGCACGTAGTAACACGCCAGCTATTATGCCATGCAAGCCACAATCTATAGCCAATAGTTAGGAGGTGGTGAATAAGGCATTTGTACACCCATGCAAAACTAGAGAAGGGCTATCCTGCCTCCTCATGTTGTTAGTTCCCTGTGTTCTGTTTCTTATTTACACAAGGGCAATTAGACTCTGGCCCACCTTGATCACATCTGAGTATATACATGTTTAAATTCTTGGCTTCTTTCCAAACTGTAGTTAGCTTCTGTTTGTGGTACCACACAGTCTATACTGAACCCCTATTTGCTTGCTAGCAGAGAAGTATTGGCTCTCAGTAACGTAATGTTTAGGAATGCTATAATTACTAGTAATGGGAATGTTAATCCCCCTGTATTACCTACCATCATCAAAGGTGTGAAGGTAATTAGTAATTTGGGAGTGAGGGACATCTTAATCAGCAGTTATGGTACGTACACAGGTGTTTGTTCCTCTAAGCTCCACATGATGTAATTAAGGTGGCCCCTCCCATGTTTCGTGGACCCAGTTAGGAGTGGTGTCCCAACTCCCTGACATAGCTAGAATGTCTCTCCCAACAATCTGCCCTCTATAAACCATGCACTCTCCATAATATTTGACAGGAGAGCACAGAATATGGATAGCTATTGTAGTGAGGCCAAAGTCACGTCACAAACTCACTACTGCACATTCTAGAACTGCTTCCACCTTTGAACTATTAACATTTTACATCAACTTGCTCATTTCCTGTGTTCAATGTTTGATTTGTTTGACAGAATCCAGGAGAAGATAGGAGCTGGTCATTTTGGGAGTGTGAGTAAGGGGCTGTGGTTGCTGAGGGGAGAAAGTGGGGAGGTGGTGGAAGGGGAGGGGGTGCAGGTGGCAGTAAAGGTGGTGAAGACTGAGGCAGAGGAGGTCCAGAGAGTCAAGCTGCTCCAGGAGGCGGCCATCATGGGCCAGTTTGCTCACCCGAATGTTGTCAGACTCAATGGAGTGGTCACTGTTGGAGATCCTGTAAGTATAGCTAGCATCATCTGTCTCTTCTCCAACTTGAGTTGATATGTTTTATGATGATGTGTCCATTAGACTATGATAGTCTTGGAGTACATGCCTCGTGGAGATTTGAAGAGCTTTCTCCAGAGGATGAGACCTCGGTGAGTCCACTCTTTCTAATTCCCTCCTTTTCCGTTCTCCTCTTCCTACATTCCCCCTTCTCTCTCTCTGAAACTACAAGCACTAGTCTCTCTCTCTCTCTTCCTGGTGCAGAGTAACAAAGAGACTAGTCCCAAGAGAGGCTCCAAAGCTTTCATAAAGTTTGGGAAGGACATCGCGGCCGGGATGAGCTACCTGGCCAGGAAGAACTTTGTCCACAGAGACCTGGCCACCAGAAACATACTCCTCTCTGACAGCCTCACCTGCAAGGTCAGTGGCCTTAGTTTCCATGGTGCAACACTCTCGAGGGAGGAAAATTTGCAGTTTCGGCATGAGGACCAACCTCAGACTTTTTTGTATGTTGTTTGCTATAGAATGATAATCTAAAGCTTTGGATGATGTGCATCTTGTTAGTATATAGGTGTCTGTGCAGAGAGGTGTGTAGGTGTCTGTGGTCTGATGAAATTTTTGACAGTATATTCTTTTGATGTGTTGGTATTGCCCACTTGGCCAACTCTTAGAGTTTGATTGAGACACTGTGTGGGTCCAGTTGAACACAAACATTGAGGTGATAGATGTATTTCATTTCAGATTGGTGATTTTGGAATGGCGAGAGACATTGCTGGGTCCGGAGGAGGCAGTGACTACTACAAATCTCACGGAGGAATCATTCCCGTCAAATGGACTGCCCCTGAGGTGAGTAGCAATCGCAGACTAGCCCAATACCATACAGTGTATTAATGTTTCTTTGTTCATAATTATGCACAGTCTCTGAACTACAACAAGTACACTAGTGCCAGTGACGTGTGGAGCTATGGAATGGTTCTGTTTGAAATCTGGTCTCTGGGCTACAAACCATTCCACGACCTTGCCAACCCAATCGTAAGACCACTCCCTCTTTGCTCTCTCGCTATCATGACAGTATGCTGAGTTGATCCCTGTCATTACCACAGGTGATAGCTCTGGTGACTAGCAAACACTGCCAAGCTCCGCCCCCTGGCTGTCCCAGACCAATCTACCACCTCATGGTGGAGTGCTGGTACGTGTGATAACAACTGCACACACTCCCATTGACACCCTAGATCACTCTTTAAGGGGATTTGGGCTAAATTGAGGAACACTATCATCGACTCCTGGTGTCTCTAAACTATGTCGTTAGCCTAGGGTTTCAACTGTATCAGTAGTTAAACTAAGCTCCACCCATTCTGACTCTGCCATGCAGGAATCCTAAGGACACACAACGGCCGACGTTTGACTGCATCCAGACGTACCTGGACTCCCCCGAGGACAGTCTTCTCCAGTGGTCTCCCTCTGACACCCTGCCCGGGAAACAGGCTCATCTACTGGGAGCCCCTCTCGTTGAGGGCAATAATCTGTACATTGATCTCCAACGGACGTACCAGAACCAGTTACTGGCTGAGACACAATCCAACAACAACACATAGCACTATATCCACATTATAACTCTCTGTCTTTTTGTGTATCTACAATTCTATATAAGGAGCACTCAATTTTTGTGCAAGCGCTTGCAAACATATGGACTCAGCGAATTTTAAAACACTTCCGTCTTATGTACTAATACACTTGCAGTCTTTGCACTAGGAGAAGTAGCTAGAGGTCAGAGGTGTTCATGTTGCCACATAGTCATACACGAGAGTACTAGTGGTCCTGTTGTCTTCCACTGGTCCGTAGGCTGGATTATCAGCTGTTGAAATGGTAGTTGATACGTAGGCAACATTTGTACTGGCATCAATAGGCCTCTCTGATTTACGGATTTCCCCAGATGTGGTAGATATGTAGGCCTCATTTGTTGCAGTAGGGATATCTCTCTCTCCTGAACCACTGGTAGTGCCATAGGCTGGGTTGGTAGTAGCTACAACATCATTGTCCACTGTCCCATAGGCTTCATTTGTATCGGTCTTTACATCGTGATCGTGAATGTTGTAGGCAACATTGTCAGTTAGTTGAGGTCTTTTCCTTCTCCTTTGCCTCACACACAGCAAAATCACAACAGTTGAGACCATGGAAACCAGTAGTAATGAAGCAACACCAGCAATTGTACCCACGATGCTGGAAGCTCCTGGAAATGAAGTGGAACAGTTACATGATAAAACAACGAACAATAGAAAGTGAAAAGATACTCCTGGTCAATGCAGGAAGACCCACATTGAAAGTAACACAAAGCCCACCAGGTGTGTTTCTGTTGACAGATGGTGGAGAGGGTGAAGCTCCAGTCATGGTTGTGAAAGCGGTAGGTGGAGGACTTGGGACTGGTGTAGTATATATACGTGATAATTTTAATTTAACTAGCTCGCTAAAACTCACTGATACAACAGGGTTTGATGAGGAGACTGAGACTGAAGGAATTGGTACTGTAGTGACTGTAATGGTGTTTAGTAATGATAGTAACCAAGAATAAAATACAAACGTACCAATACTGAGGCTGATGATGGGAGCTGCAGAGGTAAAAGAACTGAGAGAATAGGAATTACTGTCACCTGATATTGGAAACCCACAACTAGTAGGATTGGGTCCACCAAGAGCATAGTGTGACTTTACGTCTCCCCTTGGAAGATCATATTTGTAATAAACTACCACATTATTGCCACCCAAAATCCACTGAATACCGCCATCTTCTCTGTCATCACCATTTCTGAAATAGTCAACATAGTAGCCCACCACATCTCCAGACTGGACCTCTATCTGCTGGTCTTCTTCTGTCACTGACAGTACCACACAGCGATGGAGTGGGTTACTATTGCCTTCTGGTGGACTGAGGAATCCATCCTCTCCATCACTACCCACTGGTCTGTTGAATCCCACTAGACTGTAGCATCCACTGCCACTGGGTCTCCATACTTGGAATTGGATGTAGTACTGGCAACTGCTAATACCACCAGGCTGTACACAGGCCCCCCATTCAGTGACTCTACCAGAACACTGGAAAGTATAGGCAGGTACTATGGCCTGGAACCTGTCACGATCAGGTGCTTCGCTCCCAGGACCATCATTTCTTCTATCTCCAAACGGTGATGGCAGATTGTCGACACTACACTGCAGTGCTGCCGTAAGCCATTAGTAATTAATACATTCGCATCCAGCAGCACCCCGCAACCTACCTGGCTTGACTATTACCGACAGCAGTACGAGCAGTGAGACTTTCGTCGACATCACGGGACGCACGCAGCGAATATCGGGAGATTGCGCATGCGTATTTACGGTTTCTTCGCGGTTCGCTAAATAATTATATCAGAGTAACACCACAGGAGTTCTATGGTTCTATGAATATAAGTATGTTGGATTGTACATGTTTTTCAATGAGTGAGTTTTAATGTCTTCCGGTCTGAGGGGTGATGTACTTGTTCTGCAGGTCAGAGAAGGAGTGGGAGGAGGAGGAGGAGGAGGACCTGAGGAGATGTCTCCCTCCAGCCACGTCCTCTGGAGTCCAGTACAGGAGCTCGTCCTGAGGTGCTCGCAGAGAACGGAACACCTTGTCAAATGTCGGGCGAAGATGAGGCTCCGGATTCCTGCAGACAAACAAGAAACACATCTTACACTGAAAGAATGTCTCAGACAGGGAATAAATTACCGATTTTATTGCCAGTTATATGGTACATGCTCACATCTGGAGCATGTATGTAGTGTACATGAATTGCAGTGTCTAATTAAATTATTGTGTTCAATGAGGAAACTAATCTGATTACTACAGCACACAGTTCCCCAGAAAAAACAGCTCCAAGTGGGAACAGACCTTCACGAAATGCACATGTGACATCCTATACACAATTATTATTGGTATGGATGATCGAGCACACAATGCAGGAAACTGCCTCAGTCAGCCTTAATTTGGTGTCTCGTAACTGTGTGTGTAGTAAGACTCTGTAGCTACCATATATTGCAATGCATGTGACCTCCTTGTATATATAGAAGGCACTCGAAACGTAGTGAGTTGGGTGTTGCACAACCAAGTGTTTACTCCTAATATGTGGAGTAAAGGTCACCCACCAGCAGTCCACCATGATAGAGTACACAGCCCTCGGACAGCCAGGGGGCGGGGCCTGGCACTGGTGGTTCTGGAGACGTGCTAATCACATCAGCGTTGTTCAGATCCTGAAAGGGTTTCAGTCCCACGGACCAGATCTCATAGAGGACCATGGCATAGCTCCACACGTCACTGGCTGCGGAGTACTTCTTGTAGAGCAGGGCCTCTGGAGCTGTCCATTTCACCGGGATCTTTCCCCCCTTTGACAAGTAGTACGTGTCGTCCATCAGGTCTCTGGCCATTCCAAAATCACCAACCTAACATCAGAAAAAAGATTGTAAATAATATAGTTGTGGCCACAGCTATTGCTGTCCTGCCTTGCACAACATCCGGTCATCCAGGAGAATGTTTCTGGCTGCAAGGTCCCTGTGGACAAACGACTTCTTAGAGAGGTAGGCCATCCCAGCTGCAATCTCTCGAGAAAATCGCAGGAACTCCCTCGGGAGATGAGCCTGTTCTTTCTTTCTGTGGAGATGCAGTGTACATACATATTGACTGTTTTTGTGTTATTATCTCACCCTACAACCATGTGGTCCAGATAACTTTTCATGTCTCCATTGGGCATAAAGTCCAAAACTATCAACACCTGTATATACAAACAGGGAAATTAAAATAATATTCACATTCAGCATCCACTTCTAGTACACAAGTCGTACAGGATCTCCGACTGTGACAACTCCGTGGAGTCGGACAATGTTGGGATGGTAGAACTGGCCCATGATGGCCGCCTCCTGCAGGAACTTTACTCTCTCTCCCTCTCCTGCCGTCTTGTTCAGGGACTTTACCGCCACTTTCATACTCACATTCTTGTACATCCACAGTCCCTTTGACACGTTCCCAAACTGCCCTGACCCTATTTCCTCCAGGACACTACGAGAAAGGAATCGGCGATGGAGCAGGTGTGGGAGTGTGCATGTTTTTGTAATCTGTTTACCGTATTTGATTTCTGTCAATTTCCCGATAGCGTTTCGTGCATAACTGTTGGTAGAGGCCCAGAGTGGTGGAGGCTGGGGCCCAGAACACCTGGTCTCTCTCAAAGAACTCCAGAGTGTTGTACCTGTGGCCCTGCATAAGGCATAAGGCACATCAGTTAACTTTCACTGCGTATGGAGTGGGTGGAGTTGACTTACATCTGACAGGGACTGTGGCAGTTCGTATCTGCTCCTTGCTTCCTATAGAATAAGGCAAACGGAGTCACTTACATGGCATCAGTGGGTGTACACACAAATAGCTCTAATTGCCCATCACCAAACATGGAAGCCCCCACTACTACTTACCAGTGTTGGCACATACGTTCCAGCTGAGTCAAATACACTCCCCGTCGAGTAAACTTCGCTCTGTAACAAAACACCACACACCCTCACATTTCCATTATGAATATTGAAGACCTTTAGTAACTGACGTACCACGTAAGATGGAGAGGTAGGATCCTCGTATATGGTAGTGTAGTCGTAGGTTTGGTATTCACTGGGGAGACTACCATTTCCTGACTGAGCTGTTTCATAATGTGGGGCTTGAAGAGTGGCATATACCCTCTCTTGCCTCTCTGGGTTCTTCTGCACATTGGCCACTGGGTCAGTACAGTAGTCGTAATACTGAGCTGCGAGATTCTGTGGCTGCTTGACAGGAATAGCTGAAAATTACATCACAATTACATTAATTTGGAGTTAATAGAGGGAGTTGAGTAAAGTTTTACCTGTGGTGTCCATATAGGACGGGTTGTTGAGAGCTGATGCACTAGATTTTCGAATTCCAGTTCTTTCTTCTTTTGATGACAAAAATGATCAGAATGGCAGCCACCACGATTGCTGTAACAGGAGACGTCACATGCTCTCAGTCAATTATGACAGTGGAATAGAGAGTAACATGATACAATTCCCCCACTCACCTAAAATGAGGACAGCTACTACGACACCAGCTATGATCAGCCCAGGTGAATCTTCTTCTCCATCTCTACTGACTGATGGTGGAGAGGGAAATGTCGTCATTGTTATGTCAGAGGCAGAGGAATACGGAGGACTAGGTTCAGCGGGAGGTGGAGTGTCTCCATCTCCTCCTAGTGGAGTAGATGGAGTTGTCATGGGAGGTGGTGGGAGGTCTACAACTGATGGTGTTGGTGTAGGTGTAGGCACTGCAGAAGTGTAGTTAGGAAACTCTCAAGGGGAGAGATGTTTGTAAGGATATGGGGAGAAATTTATCTCAGATTGCTTGTTCTGCCGTGCAAACCGTAAACATTCGCAAAGTTCGTTTTTAATGGTTCACTTTTGAAAGTCTTCACTTTTAAGTGTGCAGTAATGTTCTCCCTTGAAAGGTTCCTATATACTATAATGGTACTAACTCACTCACCTATATCACCAGGCATTGAGGGGGAGACTGAGGTTGTGGGCATTGGTGGTGTAGTGACTGTAGTGGTGTTTAGCAGTTGATATAGTAAAATATGACTGGCTTACACATACCAAAACTGAGGCTGATGATGGGAGCTGCAGAGGTTGAATCACTGAGAGAATAGGAATTACTGTCACCTGATATTGGAAACCCACACTCAGTAGGATTGGGTCCCACCAAGAGCATAGTGTGACTTTATGTCTCCCCTTGGTAGATCATCTTTGTAATGAACTACCACATTATTGTGATTTTCAAGCCACTGAATACCGCCATTATTTTCGTCATCACCATTTCTGAAAAAGTCAACATAGTATCCCACCACATCTCCAGACTGGACCTCTATCTGCTGGTCTTCTTCTGTCACTGACAGTACCACACAGCGACGGAGTGGGTCATATTGTCGTCTGGTGGACTGAGGAATCCATCCCCTCCATCACTACCCACTGGTCTGTTGAATCCAACTAGACTGTAACATCCACTGCCATTGGGTCTCCACACCTGGAACTGGATGTAGTACTGGTCACGGCTCATACCACCAGGCTGTACACAGGCCCCCCATTCAGTGACTCTACCAGAACACTGGAAAGTATAGGCAGGCACTATGGCCTGGAACCTGTCACGATCAGGTCTTTTGCTCTGTGGTCCACCACTATCACCAAACGGTGCGAGGTTTTCAACACTACACTGCAGCGCTGCAAGACAAAGCCATCCCAAAGTAGACAATCATCAATAAACCAACAACACAGCTGAAGCTACGGTATATGTACCTGGATTTGCTGCAAGTGTTATGAGAAGTAAAGAGACGACCGTACGGGACCTGGACAGGAACATGGCTCTTCTCACCCGTAGTCCGCGTAGTGGCAGATTATAGATGTGAACCGCGCCCGTCGGATCGACACCGGATGTGCACTTTCTGCGCATGCGTTCACATACGCATCTTCACCCAAGTCAGAAGTGGATCACCATCTCTTCTATCTCTGAACGGTGATGGCAGATTGTTGACACTACACTGCAGTGCTGCAAGACAGAGCCACCCCAAAGTAGTCAATAAACCAACAACTCAGCTGAAGCTACGGTATATGTACCTGGATTTGCTGCAAGTGTTATGAGAAGTAAAGAGACGACCGTACAGAACCTCGACAGGAACATGGCTCTTCTCTCCCGTAGTCCGCGTAGTGGGATATGCGGACGACACCGGATGTGAACTTTCTGCGCATGCGTTAACAGTGGGTTCAGGATGTGATTTCTTTCACCTTCACCCAAGTTAGAAGTATTATAACATGTACCTGTGTAATTTTCTCCTTCCTTCTCATATTCACTGACTACTAAATCAGCGGAAGAGACTAAGTAATAGCTTAGTGAGGCTAAATGATGTGCAATGTGAACACATTATAATATACACCACACAAAATATCCATACAAAAGTAGAGACACAACACAATGTATCAAGCCATTCAATGTCCACACTGAGGTGCAAGAATGAGTAGATATGTGAGTAGAAATGATGTCATCTATCAATACATGTCAGTGTCATTGAGGTATTTGTTCTGGAGGTCATTGTAGAGGTTCTGTGAGTGGGCGTGGTCAGCTCCCAGTTGTCTGGCCAGCTCTGACACCTCCTCCTCCTCCTCTGACCAGCTCAGCAGGAGCTCCTCTGGCTGACTCAGACTCTGGTACAGCTGCTGGAACGTGGACCTCTGCCTCTGCTCTGGGTGCCTGCAAGCGGCAAACAAACATAATTATCCTGCATCAATGATAGGGTAATTTAGTTAAGTTCTCTCAAAAAAATCCATCTGTTAAGGGGGTCCGGTAGGCAAAAAAACGCCATGTAATTAAAAAATCAATTTAAACTTTACAGTGCAAACCATGCATTTTAGTTTTTGTCACAACATAAGAACATGTTAGAAGTGAATTTTGAATGATTTTGTGTGTGCTAAAAGTGTTCAAATAAAACAAAATTGTGCCAAAGAGGCATTTCTGATAGTTGCCGACTTGGGGCAGCTCTAGTAAAGCCATCCTATGACTTCAACCTCCAGAAAATGGCACACAGGTACCTAGAAGCATGAACTGTGATACTACATTTTACTTTTTCAAAATGTGCTCTCCCACACTTTTAGGCCTTGGTGTGATATGCTTAGCAAGAATCCCCATGGTCACCCCACAACTATAACACACACATACTTCAAGTATGTGACAAACACACAATGTCATATCATAGATCTTGTGAAGTGGATTCTAATGATACCAAATTTGATATGGTTGTCTGCACATACAGATTTATAAAATGCCCCAAACTCGAAAAGTGAGCGTTTGAGAAACAAGCCGAAGAAGAACACACACATGAGATGGCAGTACATCTGGCAAATGAGTCTCTAGCTGGTCCTAGCACGTTTACTAGGTCCTGGGTCACAGTCAAACCCTCCAGGCACATACACTGGCCCCTCCCTCTCTTTATTCTTTGTCTTCAATTCCCTTTCGCTTCTTTCTGGCCCTCTTCCTGAACGCCTTTCCGCGTTCACTCGACTTCAAAGCCGATTGTATCCCGCTACTTCCAGTATCCGCGCTCCCTTTTTTGGTCAGTCGCTCTCACTTTCATTTCTGAACTGCTGACAGAACTCGATACTCACTGGGCAGTATGTGGGGAGGGGAGAGCTTTCTCTCGCTGGCTGTAGTCAGACCGCTTTCGGCATTTGTTGAGGCGCTTCCTGTCGGCGTATCTGACGGAGTTTGCGCACTTTCTTCTGCGTGTCTACGAGGAGGTCTACGCTTCGCCCGACGGATGATCGCTGTTTAGATCCTTGGCATGGCGCTTGAAGTGCTGGAGAGGGCGAAAAGATGACTATCCAAGAAGCACTGTAGGTGCGAGTTCTTGCACGCGACGATGACGTCACGTAATGCCATGGCAACGGCCCGAATTCTGCAATTTCATTGGTTGGTCCGCGTGCAACTAACGCGGAGTAGTAACCGCACACAGAAGTATTTGCTTCTAGTTGCCAAACTAAGCGCATGTGCGCGTCTATAACATTACCTTTGCCGTTACACGTGCTCTTCTAATTATACGAAAAAAAGTTGAACTTTGTATGTCATGTATGGCAGAGTAGGTGTGTTGTGGCATGTTGAAATCATAAATAATGGTGTCTTTTGTCCCTGAGAAAGGGAATAGCTGTTGGATATGGAGGTATATGTCTCATATATAGTCTAAAACACTAAGCTCAAGGCGCTGGCTTGGTCCTTAGGACCTTTAGGAACTTGAAGAACATGAAAAAATATTTTGCATTTTTTGGTGATTTTAGCCTACCAGACCCCCTTAAGGAGTCAAACCCAGGCTGAGTGACCAGTAACTCATTCTTGAAGCAATGAGCTACAGTGACAAACTATTCTCTTCTTGTGTCTGCATGTATGTATAGTGCCGAAGTTAGTCAAGATTGGTTTAGTCTAAGTTTGACTATCGATGGAAAGCTTGTTTCTGTCCCGGCCTCCCACTGTATGCCAACAGTCAAAATTCCTCTCTACCTCTCTGGTAGCCATATTATTACCGTCATCTTACCAGGAGGAAACCATGAGAGAGTAGATAGCTCTGGGGCAGCCAGGGGGTGGAGGGTGGCACATCTTGCTGTCCAGATTGTCTATCACTTGCTGGTTGGTCAGCTGTTCATATGGCTTCCTCCCTACGGACCATATCTCGTAGAGGACCATTCCGAAACTCCACACGTCACTGGCCGAGGAGTACTGTCGATAGAGGAGTGCCTCGGGGGCCATCCACTTGACAGGGAGCGGTCTGTTCTCTGTGGATTTGTAGTAGCTGTCGTCCATCAGGTTTCTGGCCATCCCGAAATCCCCAATCTGCAGTCCCACATTACCAACAGATACCAATTTTCACAACAGAGGCAGCATAATTGTATATACGGTATACAAACACTGATGCATGACTATACAAGTGGAAAAATCTTTTCTTCAAAATGAAGGGGGATGTAGGGATGGCGTGAATTATGAAAAAGGATGCCAACAAGAAGATGCTTCAGCCGACAACAAAAATCATACATCCATCCCTACATCTTTCTTTCTTTTGCTCTGTCTAAGAATGTGTAGCTAGGCACTCGTTATTGGGAGTAGCTAGGTATAATATTATAAAACACAGTTGAGGTTGTGAGTTAAAGAAAGATGTAGGGATGGATGTATGATTTTTGTTGTCGGCTGAAGCATCTTCTTGTTGGCATCCTTTTTCATAATTCACGCCATCCCTACATCCCCCTTCATTTTGAAGAAATGATTTTTCCACTTGTTCCACTTATTTTTAGCCTACACTGAGCCCCACCCTTTAAGCGGAGCAGAGCGGCGAGCGAGGAGCAGCAGGGTTCACACCCATGTGTGTGGAGATTTATGCACTGCAGATTTGTGTGATTTGAAGATTTGATCTCACACACACTCGCAGTGCATTATGGGGGCAGGGGCGATGTCCGTAACGTTGTTTGCAATTTTGCATGATTCTTGCATGAGAGACTAGTGGGCGCATGCGCAAGTATAAAACTAACCCAACATTCATTGTACAATATGCTTTGTTGTGAATTGTGAAGGAAAGTTTTTTCTTTAGGAGAGGTCTATTCCAGCTGAAGTGAAAGGTGTAGAGGCCAAATCAGGGGTATATAGCTAGTAGCAAGCAGGCAGTAGGAGCCAGAAGTTTGCAGGGTTCAGGGTCTAGCTTGAGAGTGCAGTTGCAGTCCAACCCCTATATAGACAGAATATATAGATAGTATGCACCATCAAGTGAAACACAAAGCATAATACAGAGTAGACAGACAATGTATGAGTAGGCTTACAATAGGAATTGGTAGTGCAACAAAGGCTAGGTCAGAAGTGGTATATATAAGGGTGCAGGAATGTATATACAAGTCAGCAGTGGTGATAAGGGGTAGGAAAACACTTCAGAGCCCCACCTGCCCAGCAACTCCCAGATAATCTTATAAGTATAGGTTAACGCCTGGTTCTGAAGCTGTACAGGCATATCCCGAAGCTGTTTACTCTAGCACCAGGGGGTAGAGTAAACAGCTGAGGGGATATCCAGTACCACTGAAGGTAACCAAGGCGTTAACCAATTTGTAGCCTAGCAACCGTACTAATTGCCTAGCAAGCATATCATTTTACCGGGGTTGTGAGAGAAATCGGTGGGCGAGACGAGGGAAAGGAGGCCGAGAGCAAGCTTGCGTGAACCCATGCTGCCTGTTGACCGTTTGTTCGAGCGATTACTACTTTAGCTAGCGGTGTAGCGTGCAATTGTAGCGGGCTGCTGTAGCGCGGACCAAGCAGAGAAGACAAGACTCCGCGCAGACCTGGAATGACGTTCTTTGGAGTCTCCTTCGTATACCACGTACGCTACAGCTCAGCTATGGTGCAGCTAAGCTGACATTTTTGAACAGCGTGTTCAAAACGACACAAGTGACGCACGGCACACAGCCCTCTCGCTCCAGCTCTCGCCTTTTTCTGGCTTGCGTGCGCATCTTCCTCGCTTACTGGCTCCCACTTTTCCCTTGCGTGCCAGCTTGGGATGTAGCCACAGCCATCTACAGCTTACCAAGAAAGGTCACTGGCCATTGTTTGCTCATTAGATCGTTGTGTAAACTGTGGCTACCCAGCCAGTGAATACTCATATTGACTCAATTAAAGGCAACCACACATCCTTGGGATATGTGTATTGATGTGCTGGCTGCTTGGGTACTGGGAATACTACTAGCTTGGTGCCTTTGAAAATCAGCAAAACTAGGTTACAATGGCTGGTTATCCTTCCCACTGTCTGCATTACCTCTATAGTGCAGCAATATTTTTCTTAAATGGGCTCACAGCTGCCTTTCCTTACCAGGGTCAGCATGATAGGTGGCCCTAGCCACTGCCTTTACCTTACCAGGGTCTGACCGACAAAGGGATCTACCTCTAGCCTTTATATTCTCAGAATTATGCACATAATATCTACTGCCCTCCTTCTTTTCGAGTGATAACGCAAAAACTTGAACTTATCTCAAAGGATGGAGAAGCCCAGGTGGCAGTGGTGACAGCAGAGCAGTGGTAGAGCGCAGTGGAGGGCCTTGCGACTGAAAGAACAGGGTGAGGTTCTTGTTATCAGCCACGACTGTCAGCAGAGAAGTGCTGGCTAGAGACCGAGGGGGTGCAGAAGGTTGAACTGGAAGGAGAGTCGTCAGGCACCCCTTATTAAAATAGGCAATGAGGGAATGCAGACAACTTGCAGGGGTTACCTTGAAACATAATTAACTGTGGCCACAAACCCAAGCTGCAGTAGAGTACAGACCTTGGAGTAAATTATACGTGATGATAATTGCAATAGCAAGACTTACTTTTGACCGTGGCGACTCCAGCACAATACTCAGCAGTGCGGACAAGACAGACACGGAGTGTCACGTGAAGGTGACAACGTCAGGTTGTGGCCGTCCCGTGGAACCTCGAAAGAAAATTGGCAATGAGCTGGATTGCAGCTAGCTAAAGTACACACAACAGTAGCTCCTTACCAAAAGACGGATAGCTAGGCCGAAATTCGGGAGCAAACCCAGGCGAGTGAAAAACCAGCGGCCGCACGACGGGGACCACGTGGTCCGCTCTAACGCGCGCCGCGCCCCTGTCTGGCGCATGCGCACGGCCGGCTCACTGATGCTGAGTTAGCAGCAAATATGGCGTTGTTCAGTGTCGACCATGGAAGAGCTCCATGATCTACCGTAGTGACTTGCGGCAAGAAAGAAATGATCGCTTGATGTCCGTGCACACCTCCGGCGAAATTGGAGACGTTCAGTGAAAAAATCAGCGCTTCAGCTGGTACTGGTAAGGAGATAGCGGGTTTAAAGAAGAAGAAGAAGATGAAGAATATGATGACACGAAAATCAGAAATCGCGTATGAGCGGATTCTCGTGTCGAGAATTGCAGGGACGTATGAAACTTTTGGGCATATGTATAGGTAGATATGGACCCGTGAGTGATTTGTGGTGTGTTTTGAAGGCATAGCTAGCCATTCTCGCCGAGTTTCGAGGCGTTTTGTATGCGGATCACGTGAGATTTCACTCGTGTCATCCCTACATAGAGCGTCTACCGACGCTCTGATA